ATGAAATTAGCCACGAATGTCCATGGCTAAACCGTGGTTATACGAAAAATTTCTACTAGTGTACGTGAGATCAGGACCAAAATAACCAATCACAAGGAAAAATAGACTTCTTATAAATATATATATTAATAGTAATATATATAGACATATAGTCATTGTTCAAAAGCTAAATATTAACTATTTTTATTGAAAGTTAAAAATGTCTGTTTAACTACAAGTCTACAACATTCTAGTAAGAGATTCTCCCCCAAAAAAAAAGTTTCTAGTAATTAAGAGACACAAGAAAGTGAAGGATACTCGATACAAACCTAATATATCGTTAATAAATAATTGTGATCAGGGTCAATAATAAAGTTAGAATAATAATAAAGTATATTAATTTAAGAATGATGTGTTGGTGGATTATAATTATAAAGTATATAATAAAAGATCCAAATTATTTTATTATTATAAATTATATTATATAAGTACATAATTTGATGAGAAATGAGATAGTGTTGTTGGTTAACCAAATCAAAATTATGTTAAAAGTTATCGAAAATTTAGCACACAAGAATGTGAAAGATACGATCCGAATCTTGATTTGGGGGGCATAAATTTTTATTAAAAAAAATCGGTCCATGCATGTCATTGGAATCTAGATACATCCCAAAAAATCTGAAATATATTTAAATTATGCGAAAAAGAAGGGTCAATAATTATAAGAGTGTGACTATTATTCTAGTATAATAATAAAGTTGGTGGAATAATGAAATACTAAAGTTCAATTATAACTTGTAAAAGTAAACTAAAATCACCTAACTACAAAAACTGATGACCAATGAAATTGTAATGATGGGTAACCAAATCCAAATAAATTCTATTCTGGGAAAAACGAATCGATTATTGGTTAAGAGTGTTATTTTAGTTAGGACAAGACTTTTGATAGTGATCGCATAAGACTTTTAGGGTTTGTATTAGTTAACCAATTCTAGCATCATCTTTCTTAAACCTCTTTCAAATCCTTAAATTCTTGTTCTCGAACCCGCTTGAATCTTTTTCTCGTGTCATTATAATTGATTTAAGCAAGTGTGATTGGTAGGAATTTTTTACAGCTATTAACCACTTTTATAATATTTGTTTTTCAATCAGTTTCACTTTCAAGTGTATAAGTGTGTCCCATCTAAAATTCACAACTTCTATAACTATATATATATATATATATATATATATATATATATATATATATAATATTACCACATTTTCTTTCTTTCCCTTTTATTTTGGTTTAAAGCAATATTAGGATTTTACATGCTTTAGGTGTTTTTTTTTTTTTTTAACAGCAAGAAAAAGGAAGAGTACCACCCAAAGTTTACAGAGTAATAGTACAACAATTAGCAGACGACGCATAATCTTTACAACTTGGTTAAATCAATTGCTAAAGCACAAAAGTAAAGGCACAATTTTATTTTTATTTTTTTTGGATATTTAGCCAACAGGTAAGCTTGAAGATTCTAAGACTTTCAAATCAATTGCTTTATTATATATGTAAAATATTTTAAACTATTTAAAACTTTAACTAAGACAAACTCATGTGAAATATATAAAATAATCAGACGACGAAATATAAGTTAATAATTTGTACATATATATATATATGTATATATATAACTATAAAACAATAGAAATACATGTTATTTCGAATTAAAATTAAAAAATTTAAATTTTTACAGTTTCAAAAACCGAATTTAACTGAAAATTCGAGTTCATGGGTTTAGAAAAAATGATAAAGTTAATCTTCTGGAAGGTACATTATATAATCCTCGCCACCCTACTTGCTACCCCTAGCTAAAAGCCAATTCGATGGAAGACTCGTTTGCATTAATTGCATTAGCTTAATCTATTTTCAAACTCTCATATAGATTTGATTCCTAATTTCGATCCCCATTTTATATTTTTACTGATATCAATATTCTAAGGGTCCATGCCTATGCTCCATGTCATACATAATATTTCCTTTAATTCATACCTATATTGTTTTTTTGAATGAAAACCTTAAACTTTGAGACTAATATATTATACCAGTTTAGTTCACATAATTGTATCTTCAAAAACTATACATACATTCCTATTTGAGTACCGGGATTTTGTAGTTCGTAGTTAAAATATTATAAACTGTAATGTTTAAACATAAACAAAAAAAATCACTTTAACTAAATAATTTTCTTTACGAAGATTCAAATTAACAACAACAAAAAGTTCATTTTCTGATTAATATCACAATGCTTTAATGGTTGTTGAATTGTTTACTTAGTTATCAAAAAATGATTTGTTTACTTTTTCTACGTTTCAAAAGTTTTTTGGTACGCGACGACGTCCATATAGAAAAATGTCTGTTTACACTGAGGTCAATCCAATGAAATTTGTTGTGAATGAGATACATGCATTCACGGATTTCTTTTGAATTGAAACATTTGAGAAAATTAAAAATATAAAATATGAAGTCATTAAAACGTAGAGTAAGGTTTCTAAAAACCCCACTCTCGTTTCGTAGAAGCCCCACTACCACCTCACTTTCATTCATTATCTCATTTACGTTGATACTTTGAATTCATTTTTCCATATTGAACTTTCAAGTATTAAAATTTCTACTTAATATATTTTATCTATCTTTCCATGTTGAACTTAAATATATTACAGTTTGACTAGAGTTTTTAGCTCAGCTATATATATGCTAATGTCGTTACGATGTTTATTATTTAGTGTAAATATCTTATATATATTTTTTGAATTACCAATAAAATGGAACAAATCTACATATAGATACATATATCTATATCCCATAATATATTGTGTATATATATATAAAAGGGGGATTAGCAAAAATACCCCTTTTCTCATGCCCTTTTTAAAAAATGCCCCTTTTAGATGTCCATTTTCAAAAATGCCCCTTTTTAAATCTGAAATTTTTATAAAGTTTTATTAGGTTTATAAGGTACTTATAGATTGTAACTACTACTTGAAGACTCGATCCAAGTATTTATAAGGTTTTATAAGGTGTTTTTAAAGGTTTTACAAGTTATTTTAAAGGATTTTTAAGGTTTTTCAAAAGTTTTACAAGATATTTTAAAGGTTTTTAAAGGTATTTAAAATGCATTTATAAGGTATTTATAAAGTATTTATAAGATTTTAGATACATAGAAATGTAGTTTGTGTATGTTTTAATAATATTACATACATATTTGGGTAAATCTTATATTTTTAAGAGCATTTTTTATAAGGTTTTAAAAAAGGGGTATTTTTGAAAAGTGGCATTGAAAAAGTGGCATTATTAACAATTTCCCTAAAAATATATTAATACAATTTCTGAAGAACTGGCGGGTTTCTAAATTCTAACATATGTACTGTAAGTTCAGCTTTTTACTAAGTCATATGAACATGGAGAGCGTTGGCAAAATCATAGTCAGTTTGTTTTGCATTCATAATTGTAGAAATAATATCATGTAATGAAGATATGGTGGGCCAAATATATCATAAAAAAAATGTTGTGAAACAATAATAAGAGAACGTTCGTGAAGCTGAAGCATATGAAAAACACGTAAATATATTTATGACGAGTGACATAGTAAGATACGTGATATTATTATTTAAATAGTAATATAGGCCACCAATCAGAATTCTTTGGCTCAATCAATGAATAAAATAACTAGAATAATCCAAAATTTTAACATTATTTTAAGAATATCCGATATTCAATTAGTCCACATATAACAGTGAATTATTTATGGATCCTTTATCGCTATGCCTTGATCCGGAGGATTAGATTAGTTACATTTTCGCAATTTATAGGAATGGATTGGATCCAAAAATATAGACTATTTACCCATAAAGTATACATGAATCAACCTAATTTGTTATTCTCTAAAGTTTAGATTGTCTTTATAAAATACCAATCATATACCTAACGAAAATTAATTAATTTTTAACGTGTGATGGTGCATATGCGGAGAAAACTATAAATCTTTTTTCTTGAATTGATAATTTTTAGACTTTCGGTCCATAATTTTCCTCTATGTTCAAATCAACTGTTGATAATATTACGTTTAAAAACTGTTAATTATATTTTTCAAGTAGAATTGAGCTAGTAACTATGACATCCATTTTTAAAAATGTCAATTAGTTATGTTTAAATATTTTTCCGTTTATAATGAATAATATTTAATTTTCCAATAAAAGATATTAACTTTCGTTTTCTTTTATTTTAAAAACCAATAATTATTAAATATCTAAAACCATAGTATGTAGGAAACAAAATAAGATAAATTTTTTAAAATATCAATATTTATATATTTATATATATATATATATATATAAATATTGATATTTTAAAAATTATATATATATATAAGATTTGTAAAACTAGCTAGTAGTAGATGGATATTTATCTTTTTGATGAAAAAAACTAGAAATGGAGAGTGAAAGAAAGGTCCAAAGGCACGGCTAAGAAAACAAAACCGTGGACACCCTGTCCTCAATTTGACAAGTCTTTGTCTCCTCCTTAACTCTCTTCTTCTCTCTCTTTGTCTTATTCTAGTTTGGTCTCAACTCCCCAAAACGATGACGTTTCATTCCTATATAGTCGTCCCTTCTTCTCCTCCTCCTCTTATCTCTACTCATCACCACTCAATTTCATCTCTCTTTTTCCCTTCCCTTGTTAGTATAAAAACCAAACAAACCCTTAATCTCTTTTCATCATCATATCATCTTAATCCACATGCATACACACATACATATATAGTCTCTTTTTATATATGGCAATTGTATCCTCCACAACAAGCATCATTCCCATGAGTAACCAAGTCAACAATAACGAAAAAGGTATAGAAGACGATGATCACAGAGGCGGCCAAGAGAGTCATGTCCAAAATGATGATGAAGCTGATGATCATGACCATGACATGGTCATGCCCGGATTCAGATTCCATCCTACCGAAGAAGAACTCATAGAGTTTTACCTTCGCCGAAAAGTTGAAGGCAAACGCTTCAATGTAGAACTCATCACTTTCCTCGATCTTTATCGCTATGATCCTTGGGAACTTCCTGGTAAATATACATTTCACATAAACACAGACACACCCATGCCCACACCCACACCCACACACACACACACACACACACATACACATATATATATATACACATAAATCATCTCAAACTACTTGGATATTTTTAATTTCTATACATATGTTAAGATCTTCCTTCTCTCTTATCACTTTCTCTCTCTATTTCTTTTTTAACCTATATATGTAACCTCCTTATGGATTATTACTTCGCCGATCTTCTATGTTTCTTAACATCTTTAAACATTCGCCCTCTTTCTTAAATTAACCTAAATTAAGAAACCTTTCGAATCTATCATAAGATATACATATATGTGTATGTTTTCATAATTAGCTTATATATGTTTAATGATATATATGTGTGTATGCAGCTATGGCGGCGATAGGAGAGAAAGAGTGGTACTTCTATGTGCCAAGAGATCGGAAATATAGAAATGGAGATAGACCAAACCGAGTAACGACTTCAGGATATTGGAAAGCCACCGGGGCTGATCGGATGATCAGATCGGAGACTTCTCGGCCAATCGGATTAAAGAAAACCCTAGTTTTCTACTCCGGTAAAGCCCCTAAAGGCACTCGTACTAGTTGGATCATGAACGAGTATCGTCTTCCTCACCATGAAACCGAGAAATACCAAAAGGTATTAATTCATTTAACTCTCAATATATCCTATACAAATGTACATAGATATAACCCTAGCTAGGTGGTGAGGCCTTCAAAATTGAAATTAATCCCTAGACCGTTTGAATTTTTAAATTTTATTTTATTTTTGATTAGTTTTCTATTTATTTTAGAATTGATTCGATAAGATCAAAAATACTTGTGAATGGACTAAATGTCAGGCGGCGTTTGCGCTTAAATCCAGAAAAATGTTCATGTCATATGCGTGAACTCTTTAAATTGCTAGACATGGCCCATATGTTATAGTAGAATACATTAATAGATAGATGCATACACATATATACACACACAAGTATCACACTCGACATTCATATACCTTAATTCTGCAGAGGCATAGTTAGTTTTTCTTACAATTTATCACATGAATGTTCCTGCTCTTTCTCACATTAATTCATGTCTTCTATTTAAGTTACCCAATATTTTTCTAATAATTTGGCATATATGAATTATACAAACATATCTATATGTGAAAATTTAAAATCTCTATAGAAGTTATGAATGATAACGTTTTATGGAGTAGACCGAAAAAATATTATATATACGGAAAATGACAATGGATAGAGAAATACATTTTTGGGATCTTTCGACTTATGTGTCGTCACCATTTGAAACCATAAATTTATAAAGTTTCTATGTATAAGATGTATGCATAAGACAGCTAAAACAACAGGGTTGACATAATTAAGTCTACCAATCTATGTGTATGCATTGCACATTATATTCACTTGTACTTATAAAACTAAAATTACACAATTAAAGATATAGAAATAAATAAATATAATCATCTTAATTATACATTGGTACGCATATGATAGTAGTCTAAATTTCTTCTAAACGTGCTATCTTTTTTTTTTTTGCTAATGCTAACTTTACATAGTTTCATGTGATTCTCTTCATAAATGATACTTTTCATAAATATTGTTAGTCTATATGACAATTTGATATATGTATCAAGTCTCTAATCAATGTGTTAATGTATAATTATAGGCTGAAATATCATTATGCCGAGTGTACAAAAGGCCCGGAGTAGAAGATCATCCATCGGTACCACGATCTCTCTCCACAAGACATCATAACCATAACTCATCATCATCATCCCGTTTAGCCTTAAGACAACAACAACACCATTCATCCTCCTCTAATCATTCCGACAACAACCTTAACAACAACAACATAAACAATCTTGAGAAGCTCTCCACCGAATATTCCGGCGACGGCAGCACCACAACAACAACCACAAACAGTAACTCTGACGTTACCATAGCTTTAGCCAATCAAAACATATATCGTCCAATGCCTTATGGCACAAGCAACAACACATCGATAATCTCTACGAGTAATCAAGAAGATGATGAAACCGCCATTGTTGACGATCTTCAGAGACTAGTTAACTACCAAATATCAGATGGAGGTAACATCAATCACCAATACTTTCAAATTGCTCAACAGTTTCATCATACTCAACAACAAAATGCTAACGCAAACGCGTTACAATTGGTGGCGGCGACTACGGCAACAGCACTAATGCCTCAAACGCAAGCGGCGTTAGCTATGAACATGATTCCCGCGGGAACGATTCCAAACAATGCTTTGTGGGACATGTGGAATCCAATAGTACCAGATGGAAACAGAGATCATTATACTAATATTCCTTTTAAGTAATTTAATTAGATCATGATTATTATCAATTACAATAATTATTAATGTTGCTTTGCCATATTTTCACACTCGTTATATATTGATATAGCGATAGACAATGATTGATTACTGCGAGTTTATGTAATGGAACTGATTCTCAACATATATAGTCAATTAAGTAGTTTATTTTTTTCTCGTGTTAAAGTTTATTTCTTTAAGCTATATCCTAATATCCAACGTAGTAAAAAAAAAAATTTGTAAGAACCCTAACCGAAGCCATAGACTAAAAACAAACACTAACTAAATCACAATCGTTTAACAATGGTAACCTTATCAAATCCAACCTAATGATATTTGGTCTTCATTCCATTTCTAAATTTCACAAATATTAGTTTTTTTTATATATTTTCTGTCGTTTAATTTATTAAATTTTAGAATTCATTTGGCATTGTCGTTTACATTAGATCCAATATGTTAATTACCTGATAATGCGACGACTTTAAAGATAAATAATCCACTAACTCTTGATAATTCAACAACTGATTATTAGATTGATATATAAAAAGAAGCTAGCTAGTTTTTGTCTTCGTAAGTTTTAAGACTTAGGGTTTGACAAAAAAAAAAAGAAAATAGACATAGGACGTGCAATATTTGGTAAGAGCAGTTGTTTCCGTGATTTTTAAGATATGGCCATTGGCTAGCATGAGGTATATTGTAAAAAATCATTATCCTATATCTTAATGAAAAAACATTCTAAAGCTTTAACTCATAATAGTCTTTTTAGACCTTATAACAATCATTTAATAATATATGTGGCAAATCCATTAGCAAAATATAAATTTTAAATTTTACATTTCGTTGACAAAAATAAATAAAATAAACTTACCTTTCTAACCGGTTTACCTAACCGTATTTGCATGTTTTATTTGATTATGTAAATGATGTGTATTAATTATCTATATTAAGTTCATAGATTACATAATAGTTCTATATTTATACCACATTATTATTATTCCATGACAAACTAGATTTTCGTTGTGCTAAACGTGTTCCCTATCTAGTACGACGTACAAAACGCAAAAACTATTCAAACCAAAAGTACCAAACGAATCGTATAAATAAAGATACGTTATACGTCGTATACATGATGATAGTTCAAAACTTCAAATGGTGACCAAAAACAAAAAAATTCAAAACTTCAAATCTTATTTCCCCTACAAAAGCCCACTACTCTGTAATGGGCCAGACGTACCATTTCAGTACAATACAAACTGGCCTGAATTGTTTTAACTTTTAAGGATGTTTATATAATCAATTTAATGCCTCCAGCCTGCTCTTTTTTTTTTTTTTTTTTTCTTTATGGTTTAGATTCGGTTTAAACTTTATTAGAAGCCAGAAACTGAAAACGAAAACCAAAGTATCGATTAATTCAAGGGATTTTGGTCTAATGTGCCATTCACTGTAGCAAAACTTATACAAATTGCCACAAAAAGTTTTCTTTTCTCAATGTGCCATTTCTCCACTTTATGGCAGACAGACAAAGACGAAAATACCCTTAGACGAAAATATCTAAATATCAGATATTTGGTGGACAAAACTTTGTTTCGAAAAATTTTGGTAGACAAAAAATATTATCCACATTTGAAACAACAGACTTCAAAGAAATTTGGTGGACAAGAATTCGAAACGGCATACTTCAAAAATTTTGGTAGACAAGAAATGTTGTCTACATTTGAAACAATAGATTGAGAAGATATTTGGAAGACAACAAATATTGTCCACATTTGAAACAGCCAGACTTCAAAGAAATTTGGTGGACAAGAATTCGAAACGACATAATTCGAAAATTTTGGTAGACAAGAAATGTTGTCCACATGTATCTTCTTCCTTCTCAGATTTAGATTCGTTCCCACTTTCCAAACCAGATTCAGATCCAGATTTTTTATCTCGCTAAATCGCCAACGATGTATTCCTAGATCGAAAACGTGATGAACTCTTATATCTAGGGAGATTGAGCTTCAATTTTTGGAGAAAAAAGAGAGAGAGATGAGAGAGAAATGAGAGGAATGGAGATTGAACAAAAAAGCTTTCTCTCTAAAGGGCAAAATGGACTTTGCAAGTTGGATTAGAAATTGGATTGTGGCACAATTGAAAAGGATTTGTGGAATGTGGCAATTTTGGTAAGAATTGCTACATTGTGTGGCACATTTCTTAGATTTCTCTTAATTCAACATGTTTTTTTGTCCACTTCTAAAAACACAGAATATTCGAAATTTAAAATTAAAATAAATGTCTTGACCAAAAACTAAAATAAAAATGTAAAATTCGGGAATCTATAAGATGGGGAATGTAGCTCAAAAAATAAGTAGGGTATGTAGATCGGAATTAATAACTGAATTTATATTATTACATAAACAAAAAAATACACAATGTTGTCTTTAATTATTAATAGATAAATAATAAAATACACAATGTTGTCTTTATAATAATATTATTACTTCTCAGCCCCAAAATTATCTTTGATCGATCCCTTTTGTTTTATCGTTTTAGGGTTTCTAGCTCCTTTGTCTATTTTTCTTTTCTCAATTTTCCCCAAATTAAAAAATCTCTCTTTCAGAGATTTACAAATTTCATTTCCCCAAATCCGAAACCCAAAGTGAATATTTTTCCTTCTGGGTTTTTTTTTTGTTTCGTCTCAGATTTTGATTTTGACCGGAATACTCATATTCTCCGGCGATTCTGTTCATTCTCCGGTGACATCGTTTGTGAAATGGAGGGAATCACTCATCCAATACCTCGTACTGTTGAAGAGGTCTTTAGCGACTTCAGAGGTCGACGAGCTGGTCTTATTAAAGCTCTCACAAATGGTGAGTTTTGGTCTTCTTCGTCCGATTTTAGCTTAATTTGTTTCTCACTTGCGAATCAGAATGATAAGTATCTATAGAGTTACGGATTTATTGCATTTGGATTTTTGAAAAAGAAGAACTTTTTAATTGTGGGTTTCTTTGGTGAGATTTGACGATTCTGGGTTTGTGTTTTGTTTATGCAGATATGGTGAAGTTTTACCAAACGTGTGATCCTGGTGAGTTATTTCTTCACAACTGTTAAATTAGTCTTGTTTAGCTTCAAAGTAACCTTTTTGGAGACTTTGTTTGTTGATTGTGTTGGTTAAAGATTGTGTTAGTCAAAAAAAAAAAAAGATTGTGTTAGTCCTCTGTGTGGTTTTTCTTTAAGGTGTTTCATTCTTGTTTATGTAGAGAAGGAGAATTTGTGTCTCTATGGACTTCCAAATGAGACATGGGAGGTTAATCTACCCGTTGAGGAAGTTCCTCCTGAGCTTCCTGAACCAGCTTTGGGTATCAATTTCGCAAGAGACGGAATGCAAGAAAAGGATTGGGTGTCTTTAGTTGCGGTTCACAGTGATTCATGGCTGCTTTCTGTTGCATTTTACTTTGGTGCACGTTTTGGATTTGGTAAGAACGAAAGGTAAGGTTCCTTCTTAACCTCGGGTCTTTTTGAGTGTTGCGTCTCATATATGAAAATATTGCGGGTGCTTATGTGTGGTAAGGTTATAATGATCATTCTAGAGTTTTGTCTTTGTGCCTGATATCAACAATCTCTGTGTGGATTTTTTTAACTCACGGGATCTTATTCAAAGGGTCGGTTTCTGTTAAACTCTTTTTGTAAGTGGTTCCCAGTTTCTATCCTTTGCTTCATGAGACAGAATTGAAGTGAATAGAGAACACTTAACTTGATCAATGTTATTGAGATATATATAAGATATAGGTCAATAGATGTGATATGTGCCTCTGATTCTGATTAGTATTTCTTGTGTTAGTCTAGTCCAGGATCACTGTAATTAGCCTAGGTAGTTTGTACTGGATTGTACCGTTGTTGCAGCAGCGATCATTGAATCCATTAGCTGATACTGGTAGCTGACAGGTTAAACAGTTTGAGCAGAATTAGTTGGTGATTCTGAATTTGTATATTGATAGGAAGTTTGAGCAGACTGAGTTGGCGATTCTGGATTTTTCTTGGTTTTAGTCTTTGGTCGCGAATCAAAGTGTCTTAATGTGTAGTTCTTTTGGTGGATTGAATAAATGAACTTTACTGATTTGGATCTCAACAAATTCTCCTCTGGAATTAAGTTTGTTGAAACAATTTAGCTATTACTTGCCTTTAAGCTTATGCAATGGACCGATTCTTTTTCAGGAAGAGACTGTTCCAGATGATTAATGAGCTGCCAACCATTTTCGAAGTTGTGAGTGGCAGCAATGCAAAGCAATCCAAGGATCTATCTGTTAACAACAACAATAGCAAAAGCAAACCTAGTGGCCTCAAGGTATCTCTTCTGTTTCGCCATATTTATCAATATCTCTCTCTGTAACTCTCTGCTAACTTGTTACCTCTTTGTAATTCCTCACAAGCAGTCTCGCCAATCCGAATCTCTCACAAAGGTTGCAAAGATGTCATCTCCACCGCCAAAAGAAGAAGATGATGAGAGTGAAGACGAGGAAGAGGACGATGAACAAGGTGCGGTTTGTGGCGCTTGTGGAGACAACTACGGTACAGATGAGTTCTGGATTTGCTGCGACGCGTGTGAGAAATGGTTCCATGGAAAATGTGTGAAGATAACACCTGCAAAAGCAGAACACATCAAGCATTACAAATGCCCAAGTTGCAGTAACAAGAGAGCCAGACCTTGAAGTTTAATAACCAGATTATAAAAAGGTAAACGACTTAGTAGAAAATTGTGAAAGAAGGAGAAGAAGTTCCCAGTTTATAAGAAATGCCAGTAAAAGGGACTTAGAAAATGTAAGAAGGTAACATCTTTTTTTTTTTCTTTTGCTTAGTCTTTAATATTATGGTATTGACTATTGACTATTGACTATTATTTACAATTGGTGCTGTCTTTTCGTTTTTTTTTCTTTGGACTTTTTGTTGTTAATGTTAATTCTACTACTAATTTGTTTGGTCTGTTTAAGATATTGGCGAAAATTGTGAAACCATTATGTGGTTAGTTTTTTTTATCATATTTTATCTCTTACTTTCTCTTACATTTAGCAATATATATGTTGTTTTCATATGATTAAATAATTTTATTTCTTATGTAGTAGTTAAGTTTAGTTTATTTGATTATCTCCATAATAAGAAATTGGTATTGGTCAAAAGGTTTAAAAGCAAAAAGATAGAGAGTATGTTTTATAGAACGAGACGCATAGGTATAATAGTTTACATTTGTTTACGGGATTATTGTCCAAAATGCCATTTTTTGGGAAAAACTTACGAAAATGCCATTTTTTGAATAGTTTACGGATTTTGCCCTTTTTTAACATTTAAAAATGTACGTATTTTGTGATTTTTTTTGCAAAAATACGTACTTTATACCAAATACTAAACCCTAAGAACAAATAGAACCGACTAAACCCAAACATAACGAGTGAAACGCATGTTAAATCATATTTTTTGAGCCTGAAAAAGGGCAAAATTCACAAACTATTCAGAAAAGGGCAAAATCCACAAATGCCACTATAAAAAAGGGCAAAATCCGTAATTAATTCTTTGTTTACCGTTTCTTTTAAAAAATGGTTCAATTTTAATTAATTAATATTTATATTCTTTTCTTTGGTGCACAAGGATCTTGTTGTGTGTTGAATAAGTGATAGATTAAAGTTGATAGATTATGACAGCCCAAATTATTACTTGACTAGGTCAAGTTGAGCCCAAAGTTAGAAAAGGATTTGTGTTTGGGTAAGCATATGTATCATGCCACGCATTTATTTGCTTGCTATATTTTTTTTTTATAAAATTACATAATTTTCTATTTCATAAATCATCTAAAGTGACAAGTGTGTGTTATTGTCATTCTCATGCATTATGCTACATATTCTCAACATGCAAAGGCTAATCTTGGATACATAAACTCTTAAGACCCACTCCCCCAGTTAATTTTTATTTAATTTTTTTCTTCCCCGCATATATTTTTTTTTTTGTTAAAGATCCCCTAGCATATATTTAATTTTTTATTATGCTACAAAAATTATCCAACCATTTTTAATTTGCCAATCGAAATGATATTACATTTTAAAGCCATTAGGAAAATCGTTGAATAGATTACTCGATGGTTACACTGGTTACACGCATCCTGAAAGATTAGTCAGGTAAAGGTCCGGATTATTTTCTGATTATTGAAAGAAACAATGATGTAAAATGAATCTATTAAAACAAATACACGGAGGGAGACATGCCTTTAGTCAAGTGGTTAAATCTATTTGACTTGTCTTCTCCATCGGAGTTTGACTCCACTAAATCGCGTTATCCCGCGTAATAGGGATTGACTATGGATCGGGCCTCGTCGATCTAAAAATGTCAAAAAAAAAAAAAAAAAAAATACATGAAATAAATGATTATAAATACAATATGGGCCATAGGGACAGGGGCCTCCCTATATATCTAACAAAACCGTTGCATGTGATTTTATTAGGCCTTTTGTTTTCTTGCATGCAAACGTACAATAGCATTATTTAAAGAAGTAAAGAACCCAACCTACAAGTAACCATAAGCTTTTCTTTAATGCAAATTCACAATAAACTCCCTACAAATAAGTACACAAACTTTTCATTTTCAACATCTTTCGTGTTGTTGATATATGATCGGTAACCATTCAAAGCTAAGTCACTGGATCGATCAATGTTTTAACATATTCATTCTCTTTTAATGCTTCAAGCCAAAATCAAGTTGACAAATAGAAAAAAAGGTTACCAAATTTATCCGTTGAACTACATACATTTTAGTGGATATAAATTCTTTCTATGTAAGGACGAAATTACGAATAGATTTGAATATTAATAATCATCAAACATTTTTTTTTTGTATTTCACTTCAGTTTCATCTTTAATTTACATAATCTTTATAATTAATTTAATATTGTTCCGAATTTGGTATTCAGACGAATCAAACTAGCTAGACTTTTTTTAAAAAAATTTTTTTTTTTTCAAACTAGACTTAAAAAAACACATAACGGTAGTCAATATATGCCTGATGTTCAAAAAGCTAACTAAAATGATTTGATAAGATTCTATCATTATATCGTCTAATCTAAGATTCGTCTATAGTGAAATTGTTATTTCTTCTTTGGAAATTGTACGTGGAACGTATCTAATTTTTCTGTGGATTGTTAAAAAAAAATAATAACTAATGTTGATAAGAATAAGAGATCAAGTTTCCTAAGTCCAAATCCATATTTTGGTCATGATGTTATGAAAAAAGGTAGTATGACATTCAAATAAAATTATACGGCGCATTATCCTTGTAGAGTTGACAAAAATAAATTAAAATTGTTATAATTAGATTGTAATAATTGGATTTAAGACATGGTTTGGAAGTGGTGTTCCATCTAATCCTTTCTTTAAACTTTCTAATGTCTATCTGACCAATTAATCATCATTGAAAGTTAGCTCAACATTTTTTTTTTGTGGCAGCTATATAGCTCAACAATTACCTCAGTTGTTATTAATCGTAATTTGGCTCTGTTGGTTAGAAAACTTAAAATTATTAATTACAGACTGACAGACTAAGTATTTAATATTTTGGATTTATTATAGATGATTAAATTTACGTTATTAGAAATGTTCCTCTCTTTTTTTTTTTTCCTTTTTGCATTAAAAATATTCCTTGAATAAATCATTTCTTCGATCTCTATGCACGTAGATACCTTGATAACAACAAGTAGTCGTTATAAACATATAACGGAATCAATAATAATAACTTAATAAGGGACCGTAATAATAATAAAAATACTAATAATAGCAACAAATAGTCATGTGATGTTATACATTTTCGTCGGCGTATCCAACGGACCAAACATTAAAACAGCTAACACATACGATTTTTATTGTACAGTAAAGACATTTGTCAGGACAAAGATTCAGCATTTCATTGCTCATAAAACATTGGTGAGGTACATAATTATCGGATTTTATCGATCCGTATCGTACTTATGGACATTTGTATGTACAAGAATTGAAGGAAAGCTAACTAATTTTATGGGAATTGAATGTGCTAATTAACATGAGAAACTAAGTTTAGTTATCTCTAGATCTCTTGAATCATGAACGAAATAAAATGATCATAAAAATGGTTAAAGCTATAACAAGCTAATGTTGTAAAATGGAAAACCCTCCAATCTCTACGTAAGTTTTTTGGTATTTGTTCATTTTAGATTTTCTGGTTTGAACGGTAAAAATTGTGAATTTGTGAGTAATCAAAATCAAACACGTTGCAGCATTTGTTTTTCTAAAAACAATTAACTTCAAACTATAGTTTTTATTTTTTTTTCCATTTTTAATGAATAGGTAAGAGTTTTTTTTTTGTTTGCTAGTAACTCGATATCCTGATATTTCAAGTCTTAAAAATATGACCAATTTTTTATATATATGAACGGAATAAGCTAGAATTGTAGTCATATATACTGAATATCGGATTTTAATAATTGTATCATTGTAGATCAGAAAATTCACTTTTTGCAAATTCTATACTATTATTTGAGGAGTACACTTTATAAGATACCCTTAACTAACCTTCCTTTTTGTAAGAATTTACTTAAGAATGCCATTACAAAAATCTTCTTTTAGAACAAATTTCATTCAATTTATTAAGGATAAACAAGTAAAATACTAATTTATGTCATTTAATTAATTTAATTAAATTATAAAACGAAAATCTGTTATTATTATTTTTTTAAATGACCAATCAAAATGAACATATAAGATTTGATATCTAACTTACCATATTAATTTGTTATTAATCATTAAACTTCACCTCTCATCTTTATATGATTATATTAATATGAAACAAATAAATCATCATATCATCTACATAATAAAAAAAAAAAAAAAAATTCTGCATATGCCAAGATTTGAATTTTTAAAAACGCATATAAATTGTTCAATCTATAAAGGAAACAATTAAACGGGTCAAAAATTCAGACTTGAGTAATATATTTTTTTTACACAAAAATAAAGTCAACAAAAATTCCGACTGAGCAACGGGTCAGAATTTGAATATTTATATTCTATTTCATACATTTATTTTTTTGAAATGTATAATTTTATTTACTACAATAAAAATTTAAATATTTTAATTTGCAACATTTAAAATAAGTTTTACTTGATATTTTTAGAGAATATCATCAATACTTAATAGTTCAAAAAGTTAAAAATTATAAATACTCTAATTTGATTATTTTTAAAAATATTTATAATAGGTAGAAGGTTAAATATAATATATTATATGATGAAATGAGTTTTGATCCTTATAACTATTTGAATAGTTATATTTAATTTCATATAATTTGTTTTTTGAAATTCATAATTTTATAAACTACAAAAAAATTTAAAGATTTTAATTTGGAATATTTAAAAATAGTGTAGAACATTTAAATATGGTTTGACACCTCTAAATATTTGAAAATTTGATTCCGCAAGCAATTTTAGAATTAACGAATAATAGATTGTGCACGCAATATTTTAAAATGAAATATTGAGATTCTAAAATAAAAATATAGACTCCACGCAAGGGTTGATTTTGCTATTATTATATACTAAATATATGTTTATAACATATTCGATTATGCGAATAATTGGTAAATTCCGTAATTATAAATCTCAAACAAATTCTGTAATTAGATTAGCTCAAACAAATCTCTATTTCAACAACCAAATAATTATAAATTGAAAAAGAATATCTAAATTAATTCAAAATAATAGCTAATTTTTTTAATTAATTCAAAATAATCTATATTTTATATGCGATATATTTATGATATTTTAATTTTTGATCTAACTGAAATATATGCAATCCTATTTTGTGGTTGTTAACATAAATTAACTCATTGTTCAAAAAATATTACCTTTTAAAAAATAAAATTATTTTCTGTTTTCATATCTTTAAAAAAAAATTATCCATAATTGAGTATTATAGAAAAAATTCTACATTTATTCTAATATTGTATATAGGGACTGATAAAAAAATTAATATTTTTTCACTTACTATTATACTATATTAAAACTTAGTTCTAATATATATATTATATAAATTTTGTAATAAATAAAATTCAACCCGTACTAAAAGTACGGGTGATGATCTAGTGTTATTTAAAGGTACAAACTAAATTTTAGCAAAAAAAAAAAAAGGTACAAACTAAATTTGATAACATAAGATCAACAAAATATATTATGTCATCAGTAAGGTAACATATATAAACAAAAGGCATATGTTGAGAAAACGTAAATAATTTATTCAACAACACTATTTATTCTCCTAGCAAGTATGATAATCATAAATATTCATTTTCACAACATAACTATTTTTAAAAGATAACATAATGTATATTCTCTTTTTTTTTGTGCACCAACATAATGTATACTAGATCATCACCCGTACTACAGTACGGGTTAAATTTTATTTATTACAAAATTTATATATTATATATTTTAGAATAAAGTTGTGATATATTATAATAGTAATTGAAAAAATATAATTAGATTTTTGTCAGTCCCTATATATAATATTAGAATGAATATCTTTTTTTTTAATTATACTCAATTATAGATTTTTTTTAAAGATATGAAAACAGAAAATAAAATTATTTTAATAAATTAATATAGTCTGAAAAATGAGTAAATTTATATTAACAACCACAAAATGAGATTGCATATAATTCAGTTAGATCAAAAATCAAAATATTATAAATGAATCGCTTCTAAAACGTAGATTATTTTTAATTAATTAAGATAGTTAGCTATTATTTTGAATTAATTTAGAAAATTCTTTTTTCAATTTCTAATTCTTTGGTTGTTGAAATAGAGATTTGTTTGAGGTAAATACGGAATTTATCAATTATTCGCGTAATCGAATATGTTATGAACATATATTTAGTATATAATATACCAAATTCAACCCGTGCGTGGAGTCTATATATTTATTTTAGAATCCTAATGAAAATATTGCATGCACAATCTATTATTCGTTATTTCCAAAATTGCTTGCACAATCAAATTTTCAAATATTTTGAGGTGTCAACCTTATTTAATCTATCTGATCATATAATCTTAACATGCCTTCTATTATAAGGATCATAATTTTATATCATATAATATATTACATGTAACTCTCCGCCTACTATAACTATTTTAAATATATCTTTTTAGAAAATTATAGTATTTATAATTTTTTTTATCTTTTTAATCTATTAAATATTTATGAATTATGATATTCATTAAAATATTAAATTAAACTATTTTTAAATGTTCCAATTAAAATCTTTAAAAATATTTCTTTTAGTATATAAAATTATGAATTTCAAAAAAGAATTATATGAAATTAAATAGAAATATTCAAACAATTATAAGGATCATAACTCATTTGTTAATATAATATATTATATTTAACCCACTGCCTATTATAAATATTTGTTTACAAAAATCAAATTAGAATATTTATTGATGATATTCTTTAAATATTGATGATATTCTTGAAAAATATCAAGTAAAACTAATTTTATATGTTGCAAATTAAAATGTTTAAAAATCTTATTATAGTATATAAAATAATACATTTCAAAAAATAAATGTATGAAATTGAATATAAATATTCAAATTCTGACCCGTTACTCAGTCTAAATTTTAGTTGAACTTATTTTTGGTTAAAAGAAATATATTACTCAAATGTGAATTTTTGACCCGTTAAATTTTTTTCTTCATAGATTTTACAATTTAATTTCGTTTTTAAAAATTCAAATCTTGGCATATGGAGAAAAAAATTACTTTTTTTTGTTTATATGGATGATATGATGATTTATTTGTTTCATAAAAATAGAATCATATAAAGATGAGAGGTGAACTATAATGATTAATAACAAATTAATATGGTAAGTTAGATATCAAATCTTATATGTTCATTTTGATTGGTCATTCTTTTTTTTAAATTAATAATATATTTTCGTTTTTAATAATTAAATTAATTAAATTGCATAAATTAGTATTTGACTTGTTTATCCTTAATGAGCTGAATTAATTTACTCTTTAAATTTTTATCTCTAATGGCATTCTTAAGTAATTTTTTACAAATGAGAAGGTTAGTTAAGGGTATCTTATAAAGTGTACTCCCCAAATAATAGTATAGGATATATTCGGATATTAAATCCAATATATTCATAAGCTAGATTGTGTATAGATTTTGACAGTAGATTTTGTTACATGATAATGACAATTTGTCTATATATATACATATTTCATATAATTACAAACATGATGATGCCAAAAGAAGATGTTTATGAAGAAGCTGGAAAGATGACCCATATTTCATATAAGTTTTCTGTTGCGATTATGAGAAACCCATAGTTGTTTATAAATATTGGGTCCTGATGATAGAAAGTTCAATGTATACATGCCAGTATTCATGTCAGAGTTTAAATCATATAATGAAGGGAGTTTAAATGTCATCTTTTCAGCTATTCAGAATCATGAAACAGTGTTAAAGGTTAGTGAGATGATAAGGACTTTTGTTTAGTTGATAAGAATATTTAGCTACTGTTATACATTTTGAATTTGAGACAAAGTTATATAGTACGTTTTTCTTTTTTTCATTGTATATTAAATGATTTTACTAAATTAGAGTTTAAATGTTAAATGCATACAGGTCAAGCATAATATCCATGTTTAATTCTTATGGATGAGGCTTCTATTGATGTCGTCTTTGGAGCTATTCAGACAGCTTGAAGCAGTGTTAAAGGTTAGTGAGATGATAAGGATTCCATATTGTTGTTGTTAATTGTTACGAATGGATAGTTGCTGTTATACATTTAGAATTAGTAGAATTGTTATAAATTTTTTTTTTGTCATTGTCTGTTAAAATGAGTTAACTAAATTAGAGATTAGCAATACATTAACTTCTGTTATTGTTTGATAATACTTAATCATCATTACTGATTATTTATATGAACGTTAACTTCATATTGCCTAATATGAAGTTACAAACATAGTAAACTTTTGAGAACAAAGTTAAGGTGTTTTGAATTGAATGTTTGAGATTCTTGAAAAAAGTTCTCATGAAAATTACAGATACGTGATTCTAAACAACATCATTTGTTCTCTGTAAAATAATTTCAGTAACACCAAATGCATGTTAGAAACAAACTTTTACCAGTAAAAGCAGATTGAAAAAAGGAAAAAGATTATTAGAGTATAAATAGAACGATAACAATCAATTCTTACAGAATAATAGTAATAGTTACCTCTTACATCAAATGTCTCTTGCAAAGCATAGTCATATAGGTTTTGAAAAAGAAGTGGAGTCACCTGGTTTGCATTCATTTAATAGTAGCATGAATTAAAGTATCCTATATAGAAAATAAAAATACTTGTGTTAATAATTGGATCACCTTGATGATTATTATAAGATTGTAATTAGTATAAGATCTAGATTTTAACTTGGATTTTCCTACCTGTTTTGAAGGGTTTGATGTCGTCAAGATTGGCGATACCAAGATTTGCAGCCATTTTCTTTAAAGGAGCAAGAACAGAAGAGTTTTCGGTAAGAAAGGTTAGTGTGTATCTTCATTGGCATTTGACATTCTATATTTATAATAAGCAAGGTCGGCTAGCTTTTTAGGGTTTAGAGAATCATATCAAAGTAATATATTTAAGAATATGGATTGTTAAGGTATATGCTTGATTTGTTAGTATTTGAATATATAGATTTTGTTATGTTTGGTAAAATCCAATAACTGAATTCGTATTTAAAGAGATAATTCCTTATTTACTAATCGGATTATATTGGATTTGTTTGTTATAGAAATCTCTTTTGAGTGATTGAATCTAAATTGATTATGGCATTAACTTCGGAGATCTCAATGAGTATATTCGAGAACATCAAAAAGACCATGATCCGCGAAGCCCAATCAGATGAGATCCGCGAGTATGACGGATCCGAATGCTAAGTACCAAGGTCCGCGTGTTTTACCAAAGGAGTACAAATATAGATCCGACCCAATAACCCAAGATCCGCGTCTTATTAACCAGCAATTTGCCATTTTATCCTTCCACGATATCTTTTAATTACTCTTTGAATACAAAATTTCTAATGGCATTTCTTGTAATATTTTACCCTTGATAAGGTTATTTATTATCCAATGCTTCCCAATTAATAGTATAGATACAGTATATTCTTTATTTATTTATTGTAATGTAAATTTATTCAACAACAAAAACTTCCTTACAATATAACATTTATGAGTATGAAAAGAATTTGAGAAGCACTGAAAAAGCAAATGAAGAAATTAAACTATGGCGGGAAAATTACCTTAAATGTATAATTTTTTTCATTAAGATAATCTTTCTATTCTACCATATAAAAATATTTTCACTGAAAATGCATCAAACTGTTCTCTATTTCATTGGTAGTGCATCAAACTAGGGTTTTTTTTTTTTTTTTTTTTTTTTCATTTTTAATAAAAAGATAAGTTTTTTTTTGGCAGTAATTAACTCGATATACTAATATTCAAGTCTTAAAAATATGACCAAAATTATTATTTTCTTAAAACTAGAATTGTAGTCATATAGTGAAGATCGGGTTTTAAAATAATTGTAACATTGTATGGCATTCAGGAAAAAAAATTCGCGAATGCCCTTTTATGTATACAACTAAATTTGATGATATAAGATCGATAGAAATATATTATGGCATCAGTAAGGTAACATATATAAACAAAACGCACATGTTGAAAAAACAAATGTAAGTATTCAATAACACTCTATATATCGTCATATGAACTAATATTCAACAACACTATTTATTCTCATAGTTATGATAATCTTAAATGTTCATTTTCATACCATAACTATTAAAAACAAAAACAGCATAAAATTCAAAATTATTCCTGTAAAAAATATAGTTTTGTTAAAGTAATAAATATAGTTATAACATAATGTATGTTCTATTTTATTTATTGTAATGTAAATTTATCCAAAAAAAAACTTTTTAACTTGCCGGGATATGAAGTTTTTGGTTTTGATTTCGAGAGATTGACTCTCACTTGATAGGAGGTGGTCGATGTTATCTTTGATAATGCACCAAACTGATAATGCACCAAACTGTTCTCTATTCATATGTTTATTTTTTTCTTTTTTGACTAAATTTACTTGTTTTTATCAAATACAAAATTACTACTGAAACATTTGTTTTAGAAAAAAGAACAAGAAATGAAAATGCTTTGACGAGACCCGAGCATTAGCAAAAGGTGAATCTACACTTTCTTCGGGAGTTACAGATTTTGTTTTTTCACTTTTCATTAAAAAAATAAAAAAAATTAAAATTGAAATTTAAAATTGAAAATAATTAATTGTCTCTCTCTTGTCTCTCGCTTTCCTTCATGCGTTCTCTCGCAGTCGCAGGCGACTAGCAGTTTCAGAACTCGAGATTCATCATTCTCTGTTCCACCGCCGGCGAATGTATAATCCCTAGACCTTAGTTCCGGCGAACTCTGGTGAAGAAGAAACAAGTATTTTTATTTTCTTCTTAGTGTTTCGTGCTGTTTCTACGATTCCTTCTTTTTTGATAAACTGGATCTACTGTTTTACATTCTTCTGATTTTCTTCACTTTGATTGTTTCCATGGCGTTGTTCTGATTAGGTCTCGCTTCTATGTTTGAGAATTTGCACAGTTTTTGAAATGTTACTGAAAACGCGAAGCTGAGAGAAGAGGAAGAAATCGAAAGAAGCTGATTCAAATTTGGGAAGAAAAATGTCAGGTTCGAGAGTTTCGGATCTGAGTAAATTGCATCTGAAGAAGGAGCTTACTCAAATCAGAAAAGCTGGCCGTGTTTTACGCGATCCAGGCACTACTTCCTCGTGGAAATCTCCTCTCGATTCGTCAAGATCCGTCACGGTTTTCGAGACTCCGGTGAGTAGAAACGGTGGGAGTTCGAGTCAGTTTCCGATTCGAGGAGAGAGTAGTACTAATCGTGGGAAAGAGAAGAAGGTGTTTTTGTATAACTGGAAGACTCAGAAATCTTCTAGTGAGAAAAGTGGATTAGCTAAGAATGGTAAGGAAGAAGAAGAAGAAGAAGATGCTTCTTCTTGGACTCAAGCTAGTGTTAATGATGATGATGATGTGAGTGATGCGAGGAATGGTGGTGATTCCAAGAGTGATTCATATCTTGGAGATATCCAATCAGCTTCGATGGGTTTTAGGTGTAGAGATACGAATCTAGCGTCACAAGGTGTGTCAAAGATGAGGAAGAGTAATGTTGGTAGTTGTAAGAAGAAGAGTAAGCAAAAAATTAGCTCGTCTCGTTTGGATTTTTTGTCAAAGTATCAACCTAGAGATGGCATTGTTGCTAGAAACTGTAATGCTGGATCAGATGATACAGAGGAAGAATTGAGTAATTCAGAGGATTTTAGGAAGGTTACTGGTGCATCTCCTTTGCTTAAGAAGCTGAAGCAGAAGAACTGGTCACGTTCTTCTTCTAAATTGTTGAGAGCTAATAATAGAAAAGAGGATTCTTCATGTACTTATAATAGTACACCGGCTCTATCCACTAGCTCGTATAATATGTATGCTGTTCGTAATCCAAGCACTGTTGGATCTTGGGATGGTACCACGACTTCGCTGAATGATGGTGATGATGAGTTGGATGATAACTTGGATTTACCTGGGAGGCAAGGTTGTGGCATTCCGTGTTATTGGACGAAGAAGGCGATGAAACATAGAGGTGGATGCAGAAGTTGTTGTTCTCCATCGTTTTCGGATACTTTGAGAAGAACCGGAAGTAGCATTTTGTGTCGGAGTCAATCTGTATATCGTAGACATAATAGACATTCTTCTGGAGGGTATAGTAAACAAAAAATTGCTTGTAGAAGTGCACAAGGTGTTTTACCTTTACTCACATATGGTGGTGATGGTAGAGGAGGGTCTTCTTTAGGAACCGGGCTTAGTGATGACGAGCTTTCCACCAATTACGGAGAGCTTGATTTAGAGGCTCAGAGTAGATTAGATGGGAGGAGGTGGTCTACTAGTTATAGGAGTCAAGATGGTTTGGAGGCTGTAGCGTTAGATGGAGAAGGAGAAGACGGAAGTACACCGGAAACAATCCGAAGTTTCAGCCAAAAGTACAGACCAATGTTTTTTGAGGAATTGATTGGACAGAGTATAGTGGTTCAATCGTTAATGAACGCTGTAAAAAGGAGTAGGATCGCTCCTGTTTATCTTTTCCAGGGTCCTAGAGGAACTGGTAAAACATCAACCGCAAGAATTTTTTCAGCCGCCCTAAATTGTGTGGCCACTGAAGAAATGAAGCCTTGTGGGTACTGTAAAGAGTGCAATGAGTTCATGTCTGGGAAAAGTAAGGATTTTTGGGAACTTGATGGAGCTAATAAGAAGGGAGCTGATAAGGTTCGGTACCTTTTAAAAAACCTACCAACGATACTTCCACGGAATTCCTCAATGTACAAGGTTTTTGTGATAGACGAGTGTCATTTGCTGCCATCGAAGACTTGGCTGTCTTTTCTTAAGTTTCTTGAGAACCCTCTGCAGAAAGTTGTCTTCATATTTATAACAACTGACCTTGAAAATGTTCCTCGGACCATTCAGTCAAGGTGCCAGAAGTTCCTCTTTGATAAACTCAAAGATTCTGACATAGTAGTGAGACTAAAGAAAATTGCTTCAGACGAAAATCTTTATGTAGACTTGCATGCGTTGGACCTGATTGCTATGAACGCAGATGGCTCACTTCGAGATGCTGAAACTATGTTGGAGCAGCTGAGTTTGCTGGGAAAACGCATCACCACTGCTCTAGTAAACGAGCTAGTAAGTCTTTCTAGTTCTTCTATGTAACCGTGCATAGGAAAAAAGTAAAAACTTATTAAGGTTATAAAATTTGTGCAGGTGGGTGTTGTTTCAGATGAAAAATTGTTGGAACTCTTGGAATTAGCATTGTCTTCTGACACGGCAGAGACCGTGAAGCGAGCTAGAGAGTTGTTGGACCTTGGAGCTGACCCAATAGTCTTGATGTCTCAACTCGCCAGTCTTATCATGGATATCATTGCTGGTACATACAAGGTCGTAGATGAAAAATTCAGCAACGCCTTCCTTGACGGAAGAAACTGTGAGTTCCCAGCAAAGTATTTAAAATCCATATTGGTCATATGTGCTAAAAAAAGTAGTTTATTGAGGCGTTATGATCTGTTAGCTTGTTGAGATCATTGCCCATTCCATTTTTTGTCACAACCTTAAGCTAATATATCCTGTGAGAGCAATTTTACACTTTATGATGAGTCATAAACCACTTAGTTTGATTTTGGAGAATTCTTGCTTTGTTTTTGTAGTGACTGAAGCAGATATGGAGGGATTAAAGCATGCTTTGAAACTTCTTTCTGAGGCTGAGAAGCAGCTTCGAGTTTCTAATGACCGTTCAACATGGTTCACAGCGACTTTGCTTCAGCTTGGGTCAATGCCTTCCCCTGGCACCACACATACAGGAAGTAGTAGAAGGCAAAGCTCTAGAGCAACTGACGATGACCCGTCAAGCATTTCAAGGGAAGTGATGGCTTACAAACAAAGAATAGGAGGGCTTCACTTTAGTAAGTCAGCATCCCCAGCTTCGGTTATAAAAAGGAACGGGAATCATTCCCATGAAGCGAAAGCATTCTCCAGGGTTATCGATAATAACTGCTATAAATCCTCCTCATCTAGCCAAGTTATAGAGAGCGAAGCTTCCGTTGCCTCACATGAAAATAGCATCGCAAGCACCATGATGCTTAATCAAAGAAGTTCAGAGAAACTTAACGATATATGGAGAAAATGTATTGAAAGATGTCACTCCAAGACACTGAGGCAGCTGCTCTATACTCATGGGAAACTTATATCTATCAGTGAAGTTGAAGGTAAAAAGCCTAGAAGTTTCTTTCTTTGCTCACTTATTTGTTTTTCTCCTTTTAAAAGATTTTGATAAAATGAACATGATTTGCAGGTATTCTAGTTGCTTATATCGCGTTTGGAGAATCCGATATTAAATTGAGAGCGGAAAGGTTTTTAAGCAGTATCACAAACTCGATCGAAATGGTACTAAGGCGAAGCGTAGAGGTCAGGATAATCCTCTTGCCTGAAACCGAGTTACTCGTCGTCCCTCACCAAACCCGGAAACCAGAAATGACCAACAAAAGTGGGCATCTAAATAATATCGCTGGTATAAATGCTGAATCAGATGTTGAAGTTGGTAGCAGCGAGGAAAGCAGATCAAAACTCCCAATGCAAAGGATAGAATCGATCATCCGAGAACAAAGATTAGAAACCGCGTGGTTACAAACCGCTGATAAAGACACACCTGGATCGATAATACGGGTAAAACCCGAAAGAAATCAGATTCTACCTCAAGAAGACACTTATCGCCAACCTAACGTAGCTTCTGCTATTTCTTCTTCTGGACTAACCACTCACCATTGGGTAGATGAGTTAAACAATGAAGTGAAGCTTTTGAAAATCGGCGACAATGGTGAGCTTCAGGAGAATCTAACTGGTACAAGAGGACAGCATTGTCCTCTTTCCCCAAGCTTACTTCATGATACTAACTTTGGAAACAACAAAGACAATCTGTAAGTTCCTCACTCTGATCCTTTCGTTTCAAATCGAAAAGAAAAACCAAATAAGATCTTTATAATAAACTTATCTTCATGAACATTTTGGCTTTGGTTGTGTAGAGGAGGATACGAATCAGGATCAGGAAGAGTTGGTTGTAATATATTATTTTGTTGGAACACAAAAAAGACTCAGAGACGAAGCAAGGTTTGTTCTAATTAATTGAAACTGTTCCTTCTTTTCCATGTTTACTTCTTCTCATTTGTTTTTCTTTTGCGGATTTGATTAGTCGAAACAGGTTAAAGGAACTCCTGTTCGTTCCCGGAGAACTCGGAAGAGCCGATTCTCTCTGTTTAATGGATGTGCTAAGCCAAGGAAAGCAGAAGGTAACATTAGAAGATGAAACTAAGTACTTAAGTCATGAAAAACAAAATTGTTCCCTCAAGCTCTAATTTATCATATGTTCTTCCACTTCCACATAGTTTTTCCTTAATTCTGTTTGATAATGATATGTCAAAGGACAGTTTTAATTTAATCACTGTAAAGTTCTTATCCTATGGGTTTCAACAAGTCCATTTTTGTTATCTATCTTATAAAACTTCAAAAATGTTACTATGAAATAATCGAAGAATAGGTTAACCTTGAGAAATAGTTTATATTTTTCAAGTTTTTGTGTTGCATTTGTTAAAATAATATTTTAATTATATGTGATTATTTTTTTTCCGTTAATCTAATTTTTAGTTTCCTATTAACTTGGTTGATGACACATATTGAAACAACTCAAAATTGAAATTGTTAAACCCTTTTCAAGTCTACAAAACAATTAAAATGAACAAAAAATTATGTAAATTGAAAACTTGACCTAATTTAAGCATGGAGATGAAAAGTTGAAAAGTTACTAAATGTAAAAGATGAAAGTGTATGTTGCATGGAATAAATTAGAAAAACAAACTAATTGTTTTTGGATACAGTATTTATTATATTTTTATTTAATTTATCTTCTATATATATATTTTTAAACTTTGTTTTTATTTTTGTTTTAATCATAACATATATTCCACTGACTATTTAACCCGTTTGACATGTCTAGTTATATGAACTAGAATTGATGGTTTTGAGCTAGAATTGATGGTATGTTGTGGAATCATCTCTTTTGGGGAAATATTCATTGGATATGATCTTCAAATGAATGAACGTATAATTTATAAAGAACTAATTTATATTTTGCCAAAGAAATCATAACATATATTAAGAAATCATAACATATATTCAACTAATATAACTATATTACTATATTTATAACATACAATTTAAGTAAAATAATTATCATATTGCCTTACGTTTTTGGTAAGCATATAATTTTAGTCAACCAAAAATAATTATATTTCTTCTTGTTATTTATGTTACACCAATATAAATAAGAAAGGTAAGGTAAACATTTTTAATCACAAACAAAAATATGAAAATGATTGTGAAGTTCTCTCCAATAACAATGGTGGTTACCCTTTTCTTTCTTGTATTTGGTCTTGCCCAGGCAAGATATCCAACTTTACCAATCGTGAAACCTCCTCCTCCACCAAACCAGAATGTGAAGATATCAGTAAACCAAATTCAAGTCCCGCATCTACCATTTCCTCCAAAACACCCAGGACATCCACCACACCAAAATGCCAAGATATCAGTGAACCAGTTCCCAGGTGTAATTCCAATTCCTCATTATCCAGAACCTCCAAAACACCCAGGACATCCACCACACCAAAATACAAAGGTATCAGTGAATCAGTTTCCAGGCGTATTTCCAATTCCTCACTATCCAGAACCTCCAAAACATCCAGGACATCCACCACACCAAAATACAAAGGTATCAGTGAATCAGTTTCCAGGCGTATTTCCAATTCCTCATTATCCAGAACCTCCAAAACATCCAGGACATCCACCACACCAAAATGCGAAAATATCATTGAACTAATACCCATACATATGTTTTTATCATTGGGGTTGTAAAAATTGCAACCCATAAACTCATATGTTTTTAATTTAAAATAAAATATAATACATAACATTGGAAACCCTGTTTTGTATTATTGTTTACTTTTATATCATAAATCTATATTACAAGCTCTCTTCAATAAGTCGGCTTTGATCACCTAACAAGAAAGTATAAACTCAAGTGGTTTGAAACCAAAAAATAAATCCAAATTACTATATGAAGCATGAAAATTATGTAACACATGTGTGGTCTGCATTTCCTAAAGGATTTTTCTCTCGAAATTTTTTTACCATTATTTAATCAGAATTGACCTACATATCGCAATGAAACAAGTCTAGTATTCAAAAATGATATGATGAATTTTCAACTTTTGCCAAATAAGTAGAAGAACATGAACCTCTTTGATTGTAGCTTTAGCACGAACATCAAATACGGCTGTCCTACGACATAACCACTTCTTCACAAACAAACTTTTTTACGTTCTGGTCTTCCATATATAGCTATCTATCTATATTAGGCCGTAAAATTATCGAACAAAAGGTGACGAGTAGAGGAGATATGATTTTAAAATCATATATATGTATGATTCTGACTTTTCATCTTACAATGAAGTTCTTCGTTCTCTCTATTTCTTCTTCGTCTCACAAATTTGTTCGAATAATTCATGCATTAGTTTCAAGTCTCCTTTCTATAACGTTCGTTGTAGAAAATGTACTTTCTTTAATTTTCAAGGAAGAATTACAATTATTGTCAAATTCAGATCTTGTTCTTACTCCTTCTATGAGTTTGGATTCTCTTGGATCCACATTTGTGCTCGCTCGTGGCACCCTTATCGACTTAGAGCGAACATTTACTGCAATACGCAGATTCTACTTCGAATTGGCTATGTTAGAATCCAAATTCACAGCAAGCAGTTTTCAGTGAAACAATATTCTCAGGCACATCTTATATACCTCCGGGTTTTTGGTATCCTCCACCAAACTAGGATGCAAAGATTTCAATAAAGCATTTTTCATGCATACCTTATTATCTTCTGAATTTATAGGTCCATCAACTTAATTGGATGTTTTAAGTATAAATTAATAATAAATATAATACTAGTTATGTTTCATTTCAAGTGATATTAAAGTTTTTTCATACAGATTAAAAACATCATTAACTAATAAATAATCGTACCAATAAAAAGAACATACAGCAGAATATAAATTATCAGAATAATCAGATATATTTAAATTAAACAGTAAATTAAATAATGGGAAAGATTACGTGAATCCTATAAGGTAAACAAAGTAAAACAGTAAATTAATTTATACCGTTGGATACAATTTTTTTTTTGAAATAAAAGAAGAACAAAAAATTGTGACTCCATCCTGATCCTACACATACATATCAACAATGATTAAGCTATTTGATCATTCATGAACATTTTAGTGAACTCCTAAAAGCTCTATGAATATTTTCTTAATAAACATAAAAAAAAACTTTGTAATGATACCTCATGAGTCCTCGCTCAAGATTCTCTCAGCAAGCAGTAAATCATCAGGTGTTGTAACCTGCAATGGAGGAGACAGTATTAGCAATAAACAAGATACAAATTTGTTTTCATTCACTACGGAAAAAACAACCTAAATTAGTGTTTTTTTACCTTGATGTTTGTATAAGATCCTTGAGTGACAAAAACTGGATGCTTGAGGTATTCAACAATCGAAACATCATCTGTTACCTCTAGACCTTCTCTGTTTTAGATATAAAACACAAATAGTAAACAGTCTTTGTTATAGTTTAGTCAATCCAGACGTCAATAGTTTTAAGGTACACAAACCTTTTCACAAGCTCGAAACCTCTCTTCAATAACTCGGGTTTGATCACCTAAAGAGAAAGAATACATTGAAGTGGTTTGAAACCAAAAATCGATAACAAAGCATGAAAAAATTTTAAAACCTGTGGTGTCTGCATTTCCCAAAGTGTTTTTCTGTCGAGAGTTTTCACCACAAGCGATTCAGAATTGACCTGCAATGGAACAACTTTAATATCGAAAATGCGATGATGACCAAAATACCAAAAAAAAACAAAACAAACTTTAGATTTTGGCCAAATAAATTGAGAATTTGTACCTCTTTGATTGTAGCTTTAGCAGGAACACCAAGTACGGCTGCTCCAACCGCGGAACCATCTTTAAGGACCTTACCGAAACACAACAGTGAAATAAATTCTAAAGGGGCTTAGAGAAATTTGTTTCATTCTCCTTAATCTTTTGCTACTTCTCATAAGTATACCTTCTCGACATCTTCAGTATTCACCAGCGGTCTGGCAGAGTCGTGGATGCAAACAAGCTCAGAGTTCACATCGACTTCCTGCGAGAAATAAACTTCAAGCTTATATGAACTAGAACAGACAGTATGTTGTAGAATCATTTCTTTAGAGGAAAAAAATCATTTCTTAAAAGGAATAAACCTGAAGTCCACTGTAAACAGAATCTTGTCTTTCTTTCCCAGGAAGAGCAAATCTGAGATCAACATCAATTGATTCTTCGTATTCTATAAGACCACAGATAAAAGCTCCGTGAAATCTTTGGAAGATCTCTCAACCAAAAAACATAACTAATGAGAGAAAGCGGAACTAAACCTTCAAAAATGTCTCTGAAAAATGGATCACATACAACTACAATTTCCTTCACTTGAGGCATACGTGAAAATGTGAAAAAGCTGCAACAATAAAACATAAAAATTTAACAAACACAAAGCAAAGTAGACCTCTTCACAAGAAATCCAAACGTTCTTATGCTTTTAAATGGTACAAGGCTAATAAACAAGTAGATTCCGCAGATTGAAAACAGCCAAATTACAATTCTTCCATCAATCAAATGAGTTTCAAACAACATAAAAGACTTAACCAGCAACTGACTTTTAAGTAAGAAATGTTACCTATACAAAGCAATTGGCTGACCCAAAAGTGGTATATACTGCTTTGGCATACTCATCTATTCACATTAACAGATACAAAACCAAACAAAATGAGATTCCACAGAAAAACAAACAATTAAAACTTGAGCATAAAGTTCGAAACTTTGAAACTTAAAAACAAACTTACTTTCATTCTCTTGCCTTGACCTCCAGCTAATAGAATCACTGAAACACTTTTCTCCTTCACAACAGCATTGCTCTGAAAAAAACAAAAACTTAAACTAGAGAAAAAAAGCTTCAAAATTTGAGTTGATTCCAGAAATTTTGAACTTACATTATCAAATCCAGTCGACGAAGAACACTTGATTGAGAATAATAAAGCATCTCTGTTGTATCTTCTACTAACCCTTTTCGAAAAATCAAGTTTTTGAACTGAAGCAACACTCGAAAACAATCAATATCTCCTCACCGAAACAGAGATTAATTGGTTAAAAAGTATATAAAGAGAATGAGATATTGCCTTGAGAACGATAGCTAAATCCCAGAGAAACTGAGTTTGATTTGACTACAATCTTCGGACACAGAAATGTCGGAGATGTAAGATTCGCTTGAAGCATCGCCATGTTTTATCTCGCCGGAGAGAAGAAGGAAACTCCAGTTCATCGGCGAAACCAATATATAGGACCAACTAAAACATTAAGCCCATTAGGCCCATTAATGATTCAATGAATGGGTTTTTAATAAGGCCCATTAGTCAATACAATAAAACAACCCATCTAAAGAGAGAAAAACGTAAGATCGACGAAGACCGGAGAAAATGGCGAAACCGTTGGGAACCACCGGGGAATTTTTCCGGCGAAGAGATGAATGGAGGAAGCATCCGATGCTATCGAATCAAATGAGACATGCACTTCCAGGTCTCGGAATCGGTGTTGCCGCCTTCTGCGTTTATCTCGTCGGTGAACAGATCTATAGCAAACTCATGGCTCCTTCTTCTCAATCATCGCATCAGAAACAACCTGCTCCGTCTCACTGAGATAGAGATTAGGTAAAAAATTCAAATCTTCTCGAATCAATTTTGCTTCTCGGAGGTTTTGATCCTTATCGATTTGACACTTCTCTGTGAAGGATTTAGATTGGGAAAACCAAACTTTAGAGAATGGTACGTTTGAGGTTGATAGAGTAAGATTTTTGCATATAATTTAGGATTTACTTGGCAAAAAATGGTTATAGCTTTTAGAATCTTTGAATCAAGTTTTGGGATTAGATCAAAGTACATGGTTTTGTCTAATTTCAGTGATTCAAAGTTAAAAGCTTTATTGTCCAGTTATTGACAATGGTTGATGTGTGTTGGTTTGAGATGAATCCATTACTTGATGCATGTATAAGCAAAGCTGAATAAACACTTTCAGACTAATACATAATAGTTATAAGACGAATGGTTATGGCTTTTAGAGTCCTGCACTAAGTATTGGGAATGAATCGGTCACATGCTTATGATTATGGCTTTCAGTGATTATCTTTATGGACACTCTTAAAAGTTACCAGCTATTAGCATATTGCTAATTAGTCTTGATCAAGAGACAGATGACTTTTTGCTGCATTTTGTCATCTACGTGTGTGCCATTGGTTTTCGTTTTGTATAAGAAAAAGCTGAATAAAACGCTTTCAGATCAATACATAATAGCTATAAGTATCTGTGATGATTGCTGTGTAACATACTAACATTAGCTTTGTCTGATTTCTGTGTTTGTTGCCTCTTTGCTTTATAGTAATTATCTGAAAGATAGGTGTCTTTTTCTTGTATCTTATCTTCTATGAGACTACCCTCTTTGGTTTGGTTCTGAATCTTTTTTTGTTGTAAGATGTTAAGTAAACTAAAGGAAATTACTCATGTTGTTGCAGATTGTTTCGATGATAAAACCGTGGCGGATAAAGAGCTGAGGGATTCACAATTTGCTGTGTTTTTCTTGGATTGTCTCAATAAGCTGTGAATGAAAGACAACGACTTTGATCTCTCTGTTGAATGTTATATTCTTGTATGACAGTTTCCAGTGTGGTTTCGTTATGTGTTGTCTTTGCTTAATAAGAATTCTTATGCAATGAGAATTCAGATTGCCTCGTCTGTAATATTATAAGCAGGCATTCGCATTTTAAAACTACATCGTTTTTGGCGATTTCATGTTTTCACTCTTTTAAAATCAACAAACTAATTTGTTTTTGATTTGAATGTCTTGTCGTAAATGTGGCTCTAAGTATATAATTTATAAATCGTAATATTTTGACTGCTTATAAATAACAAATGTATATTTCTTGTTGTTAATGTATGTTTTAAATAAGATTTTGTAAGTTGTTTTATAAATGTTTATAAAAATATTCGATCTTGTATTTTCGTAGAAAGTTGAAGTGGGTGAATCTGAAATTAAGATGAAGATGAACAACTATATTTCTACAAACACGGTAGTTTGTTTTTTCTTTTACTTACATTAGATCACATACATGGTTGAATTATCTCGCCAATGAATTCACCATATTTATTCAACTACATATAACTTTATTTCTACATTTATTTTACAACATAGGATCTAGTCAAAAATCTATGATATTAATTGTCTTTCTTTTTTTGTCACAGCATATACTTCTAGTCAACAAAAAAAAAATTGTGTTGCTTTATATTATTTTTGTCACAACAATATAAATAAAAATCTAGGGTAGACATTTTCAAACACAAATCAAAATATGAAGATGATTGTGAAGCTCCCCGCAATAACAATGGTGGCTACTCTGCTTCTTCTTGCATCTGGTCTTGGTCATGCTAGGATTGAGCCTTTTTCTCCTACGCTAAATCCAAAATTTCAGACCGACTCTAAACCGTTCTTTCCACCGATTATTCCAACCGAGCCATTTCCTCCTCCACCTCCACCAAAACATGATGCGATGATATCAGTGAAGCAATTCCCAGTTATACCTTATTGTCCTCCGGGTTATCAAAATCCTGGATGTCGCCCATCATCTTAGACGTTCTCCAAAAAAATGATATTAAACGCTTGAAATAAATATAATACATGACAACATAAAACATGTTTTGTGTTATTGTGTTTTTTATATATTATAAATCTATATTACTTCATACGTTTCATAATAATTGCCGTTTTAAAGTATGTCATTTCGTATTTCAATGTTGAATACGAAGTTTCGGTTTCAACTCTATTGCTTTAGTATATTAATTATCTAAAAATGCATCGCTTTTTAAAGCACTTTTTAGAGCTTACAAAATGGATTTACCATTCGTTAATGTGATAACGATTAAGATCAGAGTATTGAGGCCAATATCCGAATTGTTTCATAAAATGATCATTTTACTTTTACAACTCTCAATATTCACATGTAAACTGAGTGATGGATGGATCGTTGCCGTATAATAAAAGATATAATATATGAAAGTTTTATTTTGGCTTTTAATTTGTTTTTCGCCGACCTATTGGCTCTTTATAGTTAACAGAAATATAAAATGTACGAATTTGTATTTTCTTATACGCTACGTCCAACCATCCACTGCCATTGCCATACTATTGTACTTGATAATATTGTTTACACATCAAATAAAGAAATAAAAAGTGTACATACATATATATAAATAAGTGGAAAAATAAATTCAGTGTCAGTAAAGTTATTGCACGTAAGAAAAACCAAGCTCGCTGGTAAAGTTTTTCGTGGGAGAATTAACTGAAACAGGTAAAACTTAACAATCAGTTTTTCTATATAATTAACTTATATTTTATCATTTTACAGCAAATATCGTTTCGACACTTTCACACAAAATTAAAACCATGCTATTACTAAAATCTGACATTTTAATTGGTATTTTGTGATATTTTACATCTTTTGCTAATGTTAACTTGAGATTAGTTTAAGCAAAAATTAACATTGTAAATTCCAAAAAAAAAAAACATATTATAAGATTATAACACTTTAAAAATGACACTTAAAATAATATGGAGAGTATTAAAAAGATCAGAATGTTTAGTATTTGGTAGATAAAAGCAAAACAAACTTGATCCGAGAGAATTTTGTATTGATTTGTTGCTTTCTATGCTTTATAATTATATAATATATTTTTGTTGTAACGACTTATTTTTGTTGAATTTTTATACTTTATTGACATATATGTTCTAAAATTTTGAAAGAAATATATATATATATATACTGAAGTTATTTATGCTTGTTCTTTCTCTGACAATTTGTTTTCTTAAAATGTTTTTAGGTGATCGATGATGATGTGAAGAACCTATTGATCATCGAACATGAGTCTGCAGAGGAAAAGAACAAGAAGGCGTATGAAGCCTTCTTGCTTGCAATCACACTCAATTATTCCTCGGCAGAATCCCGTGATGTTGTGTTTGCTAGGTTGAGGAAATCAACTTCATATAACTGATGGCTTCCACAGGGAATGCTAGAATCATGTCAGCAACAACATTTCAGTCGTCCAATTGACTGGAGAAGCATCCGGCTCGAACAAAGTAGGTTAAACAAGGTGGAGTATCAGTTGTATCAAAGACAATATCTTACATCTTAAGAAGAAAGAAGACACAAAAGTAATTTTAATTTTATCTAAGTAGTAATTAAATACCGTATTTCATCATTTCTGATCTCTGCGACTGAACATATATATATCATTGTCGATGTTGATAAATAAATTATGAGATCCTATGAGAAATTAATAATATGCGACATTTTGTATCCTTGCATGTCAATTCCAATATCCTAATGTCACAATCAAAGAAAAGGAACATATATTTCAAAAAGAAAAAAAATGGTATGAGAGATATATTGCAATCTAAATAGACCATTAAAGCTGCGAATGTAAAGATTCAAAGCAAGGTTACTATAAAAAATAATCGGGTCCTTTTTTTATCTCATCAAATTTATTGTCTTAGTTTTGATCGACTGAGTTATAAGAAATTTATTATTCGACAATTAGAATACTATACACATGTTAATAAAGATTTTTGAACATTTTATATCTATTTCAATTATAAAACATTCGAAACTCTAGTAGTGTCATTCCATGGTTATGGGTTAAGATAAATCTTACAATGCGTTTAAAAGAAATAAATGTTAAGCTCTTTGGTATTTTTTCTGTATTATGTTGCTTTGTCTTTTCTTTTTTGTGTGAATATGATTAATTACACGTCTAATTTCTGGACATGGTGACTTGTCGTTGAGTTGCTTGTTTAACGATTCCTTGGCATTTTGAGCTTTGAAGAACCATCTGCGAGGCTCAACATTCATGAGTGTTAATTGTAATAGAAACTCCATCGTAGGGACATCGTCTTACCAGGTAAATATGCAAAGTGCCTCATAGGCTGTTAAATACTGAAAATGTGAAAGTAATTCTAAGAAAGAGTATTATTTGTTTTTCACATAAGCATAAACAGATGTAACAAAATATAACAAATGTAGATGATTTTTTTTTAATTTTTGTTTTATTTATGTAAATCATAAGTAAATCTTTATATAATAAATCACAAGTCAATTCTAAAAAAACTGCAACCCTCTCCATCCGACACCTGTCTTAAGTCCCAATTTTTACACTTTCAGATTTCTAAACAATTAAACTTTTGCTATTCGACAAAAAAAAAAAAGACTAAAAAAATAAAATCTCCTTGCAACTGTTTCCCCTCTTCACCCCCACGATCTCAATATCTCCTCTATGCCTCTCTTCTTCAACAATAGAACAACAACATTATTTCATACAAAAAGCTTACAAATCTCTTTCTTCCTTGCTCTTTCCTACAACTTTTATCGGGTAAAAATTTTATAAATTTGATTAAAGTTTTGCCCCGTAAGGAGTACGGGATTAATACTAGTAATCTGATAAAGGATTATTTAGAAACAAATGTAGATAACAAATTCTCCACAAATTGATTTTTTTTATATCTAAAATTATACAGTTGGATTATCTCAATTGGATATAGAAAACTGATTTATAAAGTATATCTCACCACTGAATCACCACATAGTCAACTAATATAACCATATTGATATATTTAAATAGACAATTCTAGTAAAAAACCTGTCATATATATTGCCTTCTTTTTTTCGTCACAAAACATTTAATTCTAATCAACAAAAAAATCATATTGCTTTTTTGTTATTTTTATCACAACCGTATAAATAAGGAAGTGAGGGTAATTAAACATTTTCAATCAAAAATCAAAATATGAAGATGATTGTGAAGCATTTTGCAATAGCAATAGTGGTTACTTTGCTTCTCCTAGCATATAACCTTGCCCATGCTAGGACCGAGCCTTCTCTTCTTACACCAAATTCAAAATTCCAAGCCAACTCAAAACCAATCCATCGACTACTAGCTTTCCCAACCGACGTGATTATAACTCATTGTTTTCCATGGTACAAGCATTGCCCTCCACCACTATCCGAGATATCCCCATCCCCATAAACTCATATTTTTTCTGTTTTAAATAATATTAAACGTTTCAATAAATAAATTTAAGACACAAAAAGTTTTCTTTGTTTTGTGTTATTGTGTATTTACTTATCTATGTCATAATAATTTTCATTTTCACATTTTACTTTGGTTTCACAAAATATGTCATTTTATATTGTCAATGTGAAAAACAACTTATTTCTACCCAAATAAAATGTGTGCTTTTTGCACACCAACTACAAATCATAAGAAGGAAGTTTTGGCTCCTTCACCTACAATTAGGTGAGGTACATTGCTAAACCAAAGTGATCTTGTCTCGAAACTATCGTGGTTTTCGAATATCAACACAAGGACTTTCCGTACAATAAATCATTGAAGACGAGTTTTCACACTTATTGTAATAACAAGCGAGTGTAACTTGATCTTATCAATTTTAGTTAGATACCGTTTTTTACATTTTAAATTATTGTTGTTTGTTTTTTACAAGATATGATTGTATATAGTATATATTGAGATTAAATATTTGTTTAAAGATTGTTACTCTAAGTTCCAAAATTTATTGTTCGACAATTAGAATTATTATATATGTGATTAATAAATATTTTAACATTTTTTATCCTTTTCAATTATAAGTAAATTTGAAATTTTAGTCATGCACTCATGCTCTTCCTTGAGGTTAAAATCAACCTTATTATCCAATATTTTTAAGATGCGTATTTCTAACTAAAAGTGGGAACAATTTGTAAATATTAATAAAGAAAGTGTGTAGGAACAATTGTTTAAAACCCAATCTATGTGGTCGTCTATGCCCCGACTAGGCGCTCAAGCGACGCCTAAACGACCGCTTCGACCGATCAACTAACTTTTATCTCTATATACATTGCTTGATATAAATTAAAAAAATAAATTGTGTAATTTTTATTCACGATTTGATAGTTTATTTTTGTAATATGTATTTTTATATATAATATTATATTTATCATGTTTTATGTTATAGGTAATTAAATCGTCTAAAATCGTGTAGACTCCAATTAGACGTTTTAGACGCTAGATACTATATCATCCGCCTGCTTAGCGTCTAATGTTTTCTTGAACATCGATACCATAAAAGTAATTGTTTTTATTCATGTTTAAAATTTTAGCTCTTGTTTCCTTTTTAATAGTATGTTGTTGTTAAACTAAATTTAATGTGTAAGGTACATATAACCCTACATATAAAACAAATTATTCATTTGTGTGAACTTTTCATCATAATCGTATATGCAGCATATACGTTAAATATAATAAGATTAAATTAATTATTTTCAATAATTAATTTAATTGACCACAAAGAGAAAAAGAAAGATCACACACCTCTATATTTGTCTCTAAACTCTATTTTAGAGACAAATTTGCTCCAACCCACCTCTATTCTCACATCTAAAATAGAGATTTCTATTTTTTTCTCTATATATAGAAGTGAGAATAGAGAATCTCTATTTTTTCCTTTATAAATAGAGTTAAACTTTTTAGAGGAAAAAATAGAGGAACACATTGGAGTAAAAATAGAGAAAACTTACCTCTATTATAGAGATAGAGCTAAAAATAGGGAAATACATTGGAGATGGTCTTAGCATTTTCTTCCTTCATTCTGTTTTTTCTTACATAATAATTGAATAACTTGAAAATATACATATAAAAACGCTTTTTCACCCAAAAAAAAAACTTAAGAAAACGAATAAGTTGAGTAAATTACGAAAAGCACGACCTTCTTGAAAATTGTGATCCAATTTCTGGACCAATAAACCTAACGTCATTTATTTTTGTGGTCCCAGCTTTTATTTTATCTGTTTCTTATACCTCGAATAAAAGTCACTTTTTTTTTTTTACATCACCTCGAATAAAAGTCACTTAACGTGTGAATAAATACATTGTATGGACGACGGGAAATTAAATTATGTTGAGTATGCATTTATTTGCCATTATTTTGATGATATCGTAAATCGTAAGGTACAAAAAAAATAAAAGAGATTTTTAAAAAGCTGCTACAATGGAAAGAATTTTACCAGAGTCCAGAAGAATAGACAACACATACATACTATACTTAGGCCAAAATCTCTACTTTTATCTATGTTAAGCAAGAAAAAAAATCCATTTACCACTACATACTATACTTAGGCCAAAATTTACAATTCTCTTAATTAGAGATTTTTATTTTATTTGAAAAAAAAACTTCAATAATTTTTATTTTAATAATATTCAAGATTTTGGATTTAACAAAACTCGCAACAGACTTTGATTTATGAATAGATTTACAGTAACTAAATTATCAGTTAATTATGATATTTTTCTTTTGTTGTTTTATCTTTTGTTTCTTTTTTACAATTGTTTGTTCCAGAAAAGGAAGATCATGGTATATAAGTGAACATATTTTGTAGGACCAATAATTAATAGAAATTCAAGTAAATCATATAAATTCACATGCATAACATGACAACCTCTTGAAGCTAATATCGTACGTGACATAATTAATGGCGAAGGATAATTATCGATGTGATTTTGGGTAAATATGTGTTTTTAACTAGCTTAACAAGTTAAGGCATTATAGTATTTTTTTAGAACATTCTTTCGTTTTGAATTAGTATCACTAACACTTTTAAATTTTAAAATGGTAAGAAATTTTTTTTGTTATATCTTACAAAATAGATTAATTAATACCACCATTTTTTTTATTGTTTTATGTTTTGGTACGAAGAAGAGATATTGTTATTTATTATGACTTTTCTGTTTGTTATCTGCTTCAATACTCTTCCCACTAAATATCTGACACGTTTATACACTGTTGTAAATTTGATGTCTGATAGTGCAAGCCAAGCAATCTCCCATAATCCTTAATTCTTGTCTCTTTTTTTGGTTGTCTCCCTCTATTGCTAATTTGTTTTGGGTGAATATGAAATTCTTATATTTCAGTATTACCTGAGATACATTGATGAATGATTGCGATACATTTTAATATTGTAATATGACAGTTCACGAGTAAAAATATTTAAAGAAAAAATGAACAATAACTTATTGTATAAAGTCTAGTTCAGTGAATTTTGTTGTTTCTTAAAATTCTAAATTAAATGATTTAGCTTTGTTTTTCTGTTCCAAATTTTGATCAAAATTGTATAGTATTGTTGTCAATATATTATCCCCCCCCCCCCAAAATTAAATTTGGTAGATGCATTACTAATAAAATATCCTATGACTTAATAAAATGAAAACTAGGTCAAAGTGATGTAATTAATTAAGGGAAAAATGTCGGAAAATGCGCGAACTTTCAAATTTGGGACAAAAAAATCATGAACTTTCGAAATGTCATTTAAATCATAAAGTTTAGTTTGACTTTTTATAAAATGGTTAAGTTTTCGTTGACTTGGCCATTTCGGACATGTCGTTAAATTTCCGTTAACGAGACGTTGACGGAGTTAACTTTCCGTTAGAAATCTCCGTTGAATCGAAACGACGTCGGTTTAAAAACAACAAAACGACGTCATTTCAGTGGAAAATAAAATGAATTAACTGCGTCTGTGAAGAATCGAACTTTCCGTCGTTTCGATTCAACGGAGATTTATAATAGAAAGTTAACCACGTCATCGTCTCGTTAACTGAAATTTAACGACATGTCCGAAATTGCCAGGTCAACGAAAACTTAACCATTTAATCAAAAGTCAAACTAAACTTTATGATATAAATGACATTTCGAAAGTTCATGCTTTTTTTGTCCTAAATTTGAAAGTTCGCGCATTTTCTGACATTTTTCCCAATTAATTAATTAATGATGTTTTTTCTCTTTGTCGGTAGAAAAGTGAGCAAATAATTAGCTATGGCTATGGTTTTCAAGTGTCTATCTCATGCTTTATAGGCTTTAGGCTATCACTACTAATACTCTAGCCCTTAGTTTAAGAAGTGCCTTCACATCCAAAACCCACCTGCAATTCTCTCTTTCTCTCTCTCTCTTTATCCTCTTTCTTCATAGTCTATCACTTTATAAAACCCTAATTAAATCTCTAAACTCCTTGGCCTCTCTCTATTTCTCAGATCCTTGTGGTTTCTTCTTCCTGATTATCCTCAAGAAAAGTTTTGAATTTAATTAAGAAGCATTTTAAGATGAAGTTTGCTGCTTTTTCTGGTTGTTAGGGTATGTGCTCTTAATTTCTTCAGTCAAATTTTCATTTGAGTTAAAGAGAACAATTTAGTTTTGATGATACAATAAAGATTGGGTTAGAATGTCTTCTTGATTATCATCAACCTCTCACTTGAAATAAGACCTTTATTTCTCTAGTGGGTTTGTCAGCTTTTGCTTAAGCAGGCTTGCAATAAGTTTTTCTTTTCTTTTGTACTTTTTCGTTTTGTTCTCTATCTTTATGGACCTTCTAAAATTAGGGTTTTTCTTTTTGTTTGGAGGAAATTATTAAAAAATGGGTTTAATGAGTAGTGAAGAAAGCTCTTGCCTTTTTGTAGCTTAATCATTTGATTTTACTCATTAATAATCTTTACTCTTGTTTTTTCTTCCTAACTAGTTTCTTTGTCCCCAAACCAAGAAACACTTTGCAGAACTCAAAAAAAAAGTTTCAAATAATCGTGTTTATTTTCTAAGCAGATAGATCAAGCTAGAGAATGGAGATTGCAAGTCAAGAAGATCCTATTCCAATAAACACTAGTTATGATAATAGTGGAGGTGGGCATGGGAACATGACCCATCATCTTCATCATCATCATGCCAATTCTGCACCATCATCTCTCAACATGACTACTTCAAACCCACTACTAGTCTCCTCAAATGGTAATGGTCTTGGCAAAAATCATGATCATTCTCATCATCATCATGTGGGTTACAACATCATGGTCAGCAACAACAACATCAAGAAAGAGAAGCCTGTGGTGATCAAGTACAAGGAATGCCTAAAGAATCATGCAGCTACCATGGGAGGCAATGCCATTGATGGTTGTGGAGAGTTTATGCCAAGTGGTGAAGATGGTTCCATTGAAGCTCTCACTTGTTCAGCTTGCAACTGCCATAGAAACTTCCATAGAAGAGAAATCGAAGGCGAAGAAAAAACCTTCTCTTTCTCTTACCTCAACCACCACCAACAACCTCCGCCGCAGAGAAAACTCATGTTCCACCACAAGATGATCAAATCACCATTACCACAACAAATGATAATGCCAGTTGGTGTTACAACCGCTGGATCCAACTCAGGGTCAGAGGATCTTATGGAGGAAGACGCCGGAGGAAGCTTGACATTCCGGCAGCCACCACCACCACCACCACCGTATAGTTACGGACATAATCAGAAGAAGAGGTTTAGGACAAAGTTTACTCAAGAGCAAAAGGAAAAGATGATGAGTTTTGCGGAGAGAGTTGGTTGGAAGATTCAGAGACAAGAGGAATCTGTTGTTCAACAGCTTTGTCAAGAGATCGGAATTAGGAGAAGAGTTCTTAAAGTTTGGATGCACAACAACAAACACAATCTATCCAAGAAGAGCAACAACAACAACGTTGAGCTTTCTGCTGGTAATAATAACGCTACTACTGAAAATCTTGCTTCTACTAATCCTTAGCTTAAGTACTTAAGACTGTTCTTATACTTGCTTATCGTATGGTTAATGTTTAGCCCTTTCTTTTTTTGTTAATCATTTGTTTAGGTAGCTTTACAAAGATGTGTTTTAATTATTAGGGTACTATAACTTTGGACTTTGGAGTGTGTAAGATAAGGTTTTGATGTTTTCTAATATGTTTAAGAAAATTCTTGGCGATCTGACCCCAATGCATTGGGATTTTCACTGTTACTTTTATTTATTTCGAATCATTAGACTTTATCTAGTTCGTGATATCATTTGTCACATTTAGCATATATTTATGCATACAATTTACATTATGTGTGTAGCGGAATTTTAGATCTTTATCGTGCAACTTTTCTCATATAAAACTCTTTTTTTTCTTAATAAACTGCACGGAAAACAAAGAAAGCAATAAATTATAATATTTCTATTAATGGAGAGTTGGAGATTGTCCTGGCGAGTGTAAAGTCAAGTCCTAATATGAATGACGTATTAGGTTGAGTAAATGTTTGGTTGGTGTCACAAGTAAACTCATTTATGAACCTTTTCTTTTATTTCAAAAATTATGTGCATTTACTTTAAGAGAATTCTTGGCATATTGCAATTCGTAAAATGTGATAAAATATGTCATGCATCAAAAAGGAGTTCAGATTTTTAAGATGTTGTTGTTCCTTGTGATATCACCTGTTTCATTTATTGTAATATTAAATGTAACATTTTCACTTTGTTTTTTTTAGTGTTGTATAGTTTTAATGCCTTATTTTATTACTCGATTCCATTAAACATCAATCATGAATTATTGTGGTTTTCGTGGAAGATAAAATTCAATCAACTGACATTGTTTAATGATTGCCAATATTTTTGATAAAAAAAGATCATTTGATAAAAAGATGGATTTCAGTTCTATTTTTTATCTCCTTCAAAATTGACATGGCAAATATAAATTCAAACTAAAGAAAGTCTAATTTCGACAAACAATCTCACAACTATACCATATTTTACGGTTTCATTTGTTTGTAATCGTTAGCAACAATTTGATAATCGCTAGCGAGAACTATCACCAACGAAAACATGTTTATTTTGTAGTTGTTGGAAACATAATAAGTGATTTTGGTTCAAAATTTTCAGTGATACAAGTTTTTTTTACTTGCTACTCGGTAAAAAATATCACCATAAATTGTCATTGAACCAATGGCTAAATAAACACAATTAAGTTGGTCGCATCACACATGTCACTTACACTAGTTGCCGACACCTACGAAAACAAAAAACCTACTTGATCAAAACTAATGCTTGGGCTCAGAATAAAAACAAACTAATTGGGCCAAGCCCATTTAGTATTAACCGACTCAAATCACTAAAATCGCGAGTCTATTGTAGGGCAGGCCCAATTAATCCCACACCGGCCCATTTAGAAGAAAGTTATAAACTTCCTTGTTAAGAAGAGAGAAGGGCGAAAAATCAAGCTTTGACGAGTACGGAAAGTTACAGTATCTCCTCCTCCATCTTTTTTTACTTTCCTCAGAGCTCTCTCCTCTCCGCAACTTCGACCACCACCAAATCGGAACTCTCGGCGTTCTTACTCCGTCTCCGGCGTTGCCTCCGTCGATTTCATCTTCTCAGGTAACTTAGGGTTTCCTCTTTTTTTGCTTTTTGATCGAAAAAGTCTGATGATGTCTAGCGTTAACTCTTTTAGTCCTCATAGTCGTACGCTTAGTCTTAGGGTTTTGGTGGCGACGATACTTTGATTTATCAAACCGAACTTCTTCTTTGTGATCTTCGATGAATCAAAAGTTTTCTTAGGGATATTAATTAGGTTTTGTTACCGGAGATAATTAATCCATCTTCGATGCTTCTTCTTTGTACTTCTGGCTTTGTTTCATAAGTTTTGACCTTTGTGAAGAGCTTATTAGAGTGACATTGCTCTGCCTAAGCGTTTTAGTCCAACGAATGCTTTATTCTCTTTTTACTGTGTAAAGAAATTTTAGATCCTTGTTTGATTGCAGTTGGAAGGAGTGAATTGATAAGGACAAGCCAAGATGGCTAACTTACAAGTTTCTGGAATAATCGAAAAGGTCTTTTCATCATCTATTTCGAATTAAGCTCAATTTTCTTTTTCTTGAGTATAGTCACCTTTTCTTAATGCTGTATTTACTTTATGTTCAGATGACGGGTAAAGATAAAGATTACAGATACATGGCAACCTCTGATTTGCTTAATGAGTTGAATAAGGATTCCTTTAAACTCGACACGGATTTGGAGATGAGATTGTCGAGTATCATATTGCAACAGCTCGATGATGTGGCTGGTGATGTTTCTGGATTGGCTGTTAAATGGTTAGCTTTCTGCTCTTAGCAACTTATCACCTAAGCTGATGTTTTACAATTGGCATTCAAATGTTCTGTGTCTGTCGTGGTATATCTGATATTAAGGCTTTGTTTAGCTAATCTATTGTCGACCTTTGATGTATGATTTTGTTCCAGTCTTGCTCCATTGGTGAAGAAGGTTGGAGAAGAGCGAATTGTCGAAATGACCAACAAATTATGTGATAAACTGCTGCATGGGAAAGACCAGCATCGTGATACTGCAAGCATAGCTCTCAGGACTGTTGTCGCCCAAGTTACTCCATCGCTTGCTCCATCTATTCTTGTTACTCTAACCCCACAAATGATAGGAGGGATAAGTGGCCAGGTTAGTGGTTGGGAGGCCTATTCCTTATATTTTTATTGCATATGCGATAGTCGATAGGGTCCTAGACAATTTCGGATGCCATCAAAAGTAGGCTACAAATTATATTGATTGATATCTATTGGAAATTTACTTGATTTTACGTTTTAAGTTTTATTGGAGCTAATACAATTAAATACCTCGTTCTGAAAAACTCTTAGTAGACCAGATCACAGTATACGCATATAATTATTTGTCTACTCTATGAAATCTGATGTACTAAGTAAAATTCTCTGATTGTTTACTGCTGAAGGGAATGAGCTCAGGGATTAAGTGTGAATGTCTTGAGATCATGTGTGATGTTGTTCAAAAATATGGGAGTTTAATGGCGGATGATCATGAGAAGCTATTGAACACATTGTTATTGCAATTGGGCTGTAACCAAGCCACAGTCAGGAAGAAGACTGTTACATGCATTGGTAAGTTCACAAAATTGATCAATATGATTGCTGGCTAGTTCTGTCAATAGTTAACTAATTTGAAACCAAGTTTTAATCTGACGGGGCTTGAGTGCTAGCTTTCCTAATCTGTTTAAGAAATATGGATCTCAGCTGTTTGTGTCAATTCTTGTGATACCTATGCGGGTTCAAATGATATATTCAGTGCCCTTTTTTTGGCAGTCTTATATTGAACTCTTAATTTGATGGTATATTTCCTCTTTTAAGTTTAAATTTTTCTGTGGTGTCAGCATCTCTTGCTTCCAGTCTGTCTGATGATTTGCTCGCAAAGGCGACAGTTGAAGTTGTGAAAAATCTAAGTAACAAGAATGCGAAATCGGAGATTACACGCACCAATATTCAAATGATTGGAGCTTTATGGTACTTCCTATCTATCCTTCTTATCGGCTTGTTATTTGTCTTTAACTTCTTACCATGCATTATGGTAGTGTTGTAGTATACTTCTATTAGTTGTACTTGTCCATGGTTGATTGGGATGAATGGTTACCTTACACATCTACGACTAGGCTTTCCATGGTTGTGATGCTACTTAATGCGTTTTTGTTTCAGCCGTGCTGTTGGGTACCGATTTGGGACTCATCTAGGTAACACTGTGCCAGTATTAATCAATTACTGCACCAGCGCTTCAGAAAATGACGAGGAGCTTCGCGAGTATAGCTTACAGGTATCATGCTCACTAGGCGTGCACCTATTGTTTTCTCATCTAATTTCTAAATAGGACAATTACCTAGGCGTGTTTGTAGTCTCTTTTCTCTCCTATGTTGTTAAATTGGGATTCTAATCTTAGCTTCGATAAAAGTGGTATGAGCAATGTAGGCGATAACGTATCTGTTCTGAAATTTGACTGCAGGCACTTGAAAGTTTCTTGCTACGATGTCCCAGGGACATTACACCATATTGTGATGAAATTTTAAATCTCACTTTGGAATATATTAGTTATGACCCAAATTTTACGGACAACATGGAGGAAGATACTGATAATGAGACTCTTGAAGATGAAGATGATGAGTAAGTTCTGATTTAATCATTGGAACGGTAACCTAGCTCCTTATGATGCACCATTATCTCACTGACATAAGTCTTTCTTTCTCACAGCGAGAGTGCAAATGAGTACACAGATGATGAGGATGCCAGCTGGAAAGTTAGGAGAGCAGCGGCTAAATGTTTAGCTGGACTAATCGTTTCTCGTTCTGAGATGCTCGCTAAAGTATATCAAGAGGTATATCTTCTTTTAATGATCAAGAGTATTATTTTACCTGAAGATAGTTTTTCATTTTCTTACTTGCATTTGATTAAATAAGAAACAAGAATTTACTATAGTCTTTATCGTTGAGGAGTTTAGTAATTAGTCTCTTCTTGTGCAGGCCTGCCCGAAACTAATTGATAGATTTAAGGAAAGGGAGGAAAACGTGAAGGTATGGAAAATAAATAATGCTCTATCTTACTTTTGCTATATGGTCATTGATCTGAGATTGAGGTACTGTTGTTACAGATGGATGTATTCAACACATTCATTGATCTGTTAAGGCAAACAGGAAATGTTACAAAAGGTCAAACTGATAGCGATGAATCAAGGCAAAAATTCTGAATCCTTTCACTCCAGTATGAATGGTCTGTCAAATTACTGATGAAATCCTACTAACTGAATATATACCTTTGGTCGATGCAGTCCAAAATGGCTACTGAAGCAAGAAGTCTCAAAGATTGTGAAATCCATAAATAGGCAACTGCGAGAAAAGTCTGTTAAGACAAAGGTATGAAAGTGTTAAACATTCTTTTTGGTTTGATTCCAGTTTGATACTTTCATAACGTCTTACCTATCTGTAGGTTGGTGCATTCTCTGTTTTAAGAGAACTTGTGGTTGTCCTGCCCGACTGCCTTGCTGATCATATTGGTTCACTTGTTCCTGGAATTGAAAGGGCGCTAAATGTTAGTGGATATATTCATTACACTTATTTATGGACTGTAACTGTCAGTGTTACTCTTTTTCAAGTGCTCATATTTCCTCTATTTTTTTTTCACTCTCCAGGATAAATCTTCTACTTCAAACTTGAAAATTGAAACTCTTGTCTTCACCAAATTAGTCTTGGCATCACATGCGCCTCCTGTTTTTCATCCTTACATTAAGGTTGGCAAAATGTTCAACTACTAGTGTTGAGTCCAAAGACTTTACAACCCAGTTTTCGAAAGTAAATGAAGCTGATGATGGTTGCTATGACTTACTCTTGAACTTTTATGTAATTTTAGGCTCTTTCAAGTCCCGTTTTAGCTGCTGTTGGTGAACGTTATTACAAGGTGACCGCTGAGGCATTAAGGGTTTGTGGAGAACTTGTAAGAGTAGTCCGCCCAAGTACTGCGGTGAGTATCTCATTACATTGAGATGTCATGTACACACTTAATGATTCAGTCTTTTCTCCTGATTTAGTGTCAATGTTTGTTTTATTTAAAAGTTTGAACTTTGAACCATATAATTTCCCATAGACAGACTTGCAAATTTTGCATCCACTGATATTTTTTCTTCTGTGGTTTAGGGAATGGGCTTTGATTTTAAACCGTTTGTTCATCCTATCTACAATGCGATAATGTCTCGCTTGACAAATCAAGATCAGGACCAGGTCCGTGGCATGAATCTTCCTTTTTAGTCTTGTTTATGAAAATCCATGCTTTTTGGGGCAATCGACTTAATAATCTTAATTGAACTCTTTCAATCGTCATTATGATTAATTTCAGAATTGGAAAATGCAAGCAGATTGCTGTGTTTGTATTTGTAATTTTGTATTATTTACATTTCGTAATCTCTCTTCGCTTCAACAGGAAGTCAAGGAGTGTGCTATCACCTGTATGGGTCTTGTGATTTCAACATTTGGTGATCAACTGAGAGCAGAGTTACCTTCATGCCTTCCTGTGCTTGTTGATCGAATGGGAAACGAAATCACTCGCCTCACTGCAGTAAAGGTTGTTCTTGTGCTTCTGTCGAAGCTTTTATTTTAAAATTTTCTTTTAGCTCATGTCTGTGATTGTGTGGGTGCATACAGGCATTTGCAGTCATTGCCACTTCTCCGCTTCACATTGATCTATCATGTGTCTTGGACCATTTGATTGCTGAACTAACGGGATTCTTACGGAAGGTATATGGCTTCTTACCACCATATCTTAATAGGGATCAAATATGCACTTTTCTTCGGTTGACTTTCTCATAGGTAGTGAAAAAATAACTGAAGACAATATCTGGTATTTAGGCAATTTGTATTAATGTGTTTGTACAACAGGCTAATCGGGTTCTAAGGCAAGCAACACTGATTACTATGAATACCTTGGTAACAGCCTACGGTGATAAAATTGGCTCAGATGCTTATGAAGTTATTCTTGTGGAGCTTTCATCTCTGATAAGGTTTGTTTGCTTCTCTAACGAATTGCCACTGGTTTTTTTTGTTTCTTACTTTCTAGGTTGGTATTTTTATTAAAAGATGACTTTCATCTGTGTTTTTCAGTGTTTCGGACCTGCACATGACAGCTCTTGCACTCGAACTCTGCTGCACTCTGATGACTGGAAAGAGTTGTAGTGAAAATATCAGTTTGGCGGTTCGCAACAAAGTTCTTCCGCAGGCTCTAACTTTAGTTAAAAGCCCATTGCTCCAGGGTCAAGCACTTTTGGTAAATTTTTCGTTACTGATAGAATTGTTATATACTTTGCCTGACCTTAAAGATTAGAAGACAATGATTTCTTGGATGTTTGTCACAGGATCTGCAAAAATTCTTTGAAGCTCTGGTGTATCATGCAAATACGAGTTTCTACACCTTGCTGGAATCATTGCTATCTTGTGCTAAGCCTTCTCCTCAGTCTGGAGGTGTCCCAAAACAAGCATTATATTCAATTGCACAGTGTGTGGCGGTTCTTTGTCTCGCAGCGGGTGATAAGAATTGTTCGTCAACTGTTAAAATGCTTATGGAAATCCTTAAAGATGACAGCGGCACAAATTCAGTAAGCACATCGAATGTTTATTAGTTTGAGAGCCATTAGGGATTAGATTCAGGCTTATCTTCCTTTGTAGATCTACAGCTCAAGTTAAAGGCTTATTTTTGTGCTGATGGTTTCTCGTGCAGGCAAAACAACATCTTGCCCTGTTATCTCTCGGTGAGATTGGGAGAAGGAAAGATCTCAGCGCACATGCTGGCATTGAAACAATCGTCATTGAGTCTTTCCAATCTCCGTTTGAAGAAATAAAGTCTGCAGCTTCTTATGCTCTTGGAAACATTGCTGTTGGCAATCTATCCAATTATTTACCTTTTATCTTGAACCAGATTGATAATCAACAGAAAAAACAGTATATTCTCCTTCATTCACTCAAGGAGGTATGTTTTTCCTTAACAGGTATCCATGTTATAATATCAGATTACATAAACTGCTTGATTTCATATCCTGTTCGTTGGTTTTTCAGGTTATTGTGAGGCAGTCTGTTGATAAAGCGGATTTCCAGAATTCTAGTGTTGAGAAAATACTTGCTTTACTGTTTAACCATTGTGAAAGCGAAGAAGAAGGTGTAAGGAATGTTGTTGCTGAATGCTTGGGAAAAATGGCTTTGATAGAGCCTGAGAAACTGGTTCCTGCTCTTCAGGTAGAAAACACTGAACAATCCACTATTTGCATTTTACTCATTTGCTGTTATACTTAGAGATGCATTCTGAATTTTATAGGTAAGGACAACGAGTCCAGCTGCTTTTACTCGTGCAACTGTTGTTACCGCTGTGAAATATTCAGTAGTGGAACGACCTGAGAAATTAGATGAAATCATCTTCCTTCAGATTTCTTCTTTCCTCATGCTGATTAAAGATGGTGACCGGGTAAGTGAAAAAATTTAACCCCTTCTGATGATAACGACATAAAACATCAATAAACATTGGATAACAGTAACACATTCTATGTAATCATAACTTTTTCTTTCGGTTATTGCAGCATGTTAGGCGTGCAGCTGTCTCAGCTCTGAGTACTTTTGCTCATTATAAACCAAACCTTATTAAAGGACTTCTCCCTGAATTGTTACCACTTCTATATGATCAGACCGTTATTAAGGTAAATTCTTAGTGATTCAGCCAAGTTTTTATCTGTGTCAGAATATATTAGCAGGTTTTATCTTTCATCGCCTGAGACATTTATCTTTTGCAGAAAGAATTAATTAGGACAGTTGATCTTGGCCCATTCAAGCATGTCGTTGATGACGGGCTTGAGCTGAGGAAAGCAGCTTTTGAGTGTGTGTTTACTCTGCTAGATAGCTGTCTTGATCAAGTGAATCCGTCTTCTTTCATTGTTCCTTTCCTCAAATCCGGACTAGAAGGTGAGTGTTTCTGCCTTCCTCTGATGAGAGTTAACCTACTGTTTCGCCATTTTCTTTATTAGCTTATATATATCATAATCTCTGTTTATGCAGATCATTATGACCTGAAGATGCTTTGTCATCTTATACTCTCCTTGCTAGCAGATAAATCCCCCTCAGCCGTACTTGCTGGTATGTTTATTATAGCTTCCAAAATCATTATATAAGAGCCGCCTAATAAAATCTGATCTGTCCTTATAATGTATGCAGTACTGGATTCTCTTGTGGAACCACTGCATAAAACAATAAGCTTCAAGCCAAAGCAAGATGCAGTGAAGCAAGAGCATGATCGTAATGAAGATATGATCAGAAGCGCTCTTCGTGCTATATCGTCACTGGATCGTATCAATGGGGTAGATTATAGCCACAAGTTCAAGGGCTTAATGGGTGACATGAAGAGGTCTGTACCATTGTGGGAAAAGTTTCAGACAATCCGGAACGAGTAAGTTTTTGTGTATGTTGTCTCATGAAAAAGCCATCGATGATGATTTTTCTATTCCAAGAAAAGGGTACAGCGAAAAAAAAGAGTTGGTAACATAAATTTCTTCTGAATCGACGAAAAAGGGTTTTATTGTTTGACAAGAAAGGATTTTTTTTTTAATATATGCTTTCTTTCATTGGACCTTTGTTTCTGTGTTGTTGCCTCCTTTTCTTTTTCTTTTATGACAATTTTAGGGGTTTTAGCCTTGTTTTGCTTTCTGGTGATCTCTTAAAAGTGGAATATGTTTGGACAATCTTAAAATTTAGTACAAACAGCATGCAGTCCGGCCTGCACTAATTTCTTCGCATAATTCAGACCTTTATTAATTTAGAGTGCATGCAAATAAAACCCATATAAAACTACTCAAATTTTATCTAAATAAAAATGAACACCATTTGTCATTATAAACTTGATACAAAATGATTTATATACATTAAAATTGTCGGTCTAAATTGAATTAATATTTTAAACATTAACCATATGATGCGGCAAAGTTCAATGTGAAATGCTGTGAGTGATTCACCAATAGAGACAACTTGCAGTTTGCCCACTCGAAGAAGAAACAAAAATATTAAAGGTAATGCCATTTTGGCTGTGGCTCTATTCATAGTCACTACAAAGAAATAGAAAGATGGAACTAATCTTTAATTCAACTTACAAAAGAGTAGAAATCCACAAAAATTTGCGGGTTTAGGTCTTTTTGTTTTTAGAGGTTACTGGAGACAGAAGAAAGACTTTTAAGTACCTGAAAATCCTTACAAAAACATAAAATCTCTCCTTCATTCATCAGTACCCTCAGCATTACCAGACTTGAGATGAAGATGCTTCTCTCGCTTTTGGAAATCTGTCAAACCTTTCCCACTTCCCGTCACACCCACTTTACCAAATGGATCTTCTGGTGATTTGAATATACTCTCTTTCTTCCTCCCTGTGAAGAACCCTACCTGCACGACCAACACCCGTCTCAGTATCACACCAAGAGAAAAAGCCATACAAAATTTCGTACTTAACTAACCTTTTTAGTTTTGGCTTTAGTCGTCTGAAACTGTTGCCAATCATTCTGTTTCTTGTTCTGTACAACCTCGAGTTGCTCAAACCTTGCCTTGGACTTGAAAGCATGTATCTTCTTACGCTTTGCTATTTTCTGTAAAAAAAAAAAGAGTCAGACCTCGTAACACGACCTCATGGGACCAAAAAGCAAATGGGTTAAAAAAGAATCTTGACTTACTACATCCTCAGGATCATTAGGATCGATTTTAAGCTTTGCTGGTAGAGTTTTAGTCTGGTAGTCAGAACTCGCAGCTTGCTCAATCTTTCTTTTGAGAGCATTTTTGGTAGCTTGAGCTAATCTCTCAGCTTCCACGATAGCATTTTGCTCGATTGGCCTCACATTTTCTGGATCAACCTAAATTATAACAAGGCAACCTCAATATTAGTTAGTTTTTAAAGAACCAAATAAAACTGGAATAGAAGCATTACCTCTTCCTTGTTTCCCCACTCATCATAAGCAACAAAATAGCCATTCACAGTATGTGCCTCAATGGTCGCATCATACCTGAACATTCAACTAATCAAAAAAAGAAAAAAGGGAGAAAAAGACGTAAAGAATACAGTAGATACATCATGAATTACAAGAAACCCCAGAGTTTTCCAACATACCACTCGCCATCGTCACTAAAGACAGCTTGAACTTTTGTTCCAACAGGGAACTTACCCTCATGGATTGGGTCATTCCTTGAACCCTGAACAAACAATGAAATACAATCACACATTAATCACCAAAATAAATATGTAGTAAGCTCTGGAGTAACATGGATCTAGGTTTACATAACGCATGCGTTTCCGTATTCAAATTTTCGAAAAAATCACATGGCAGCATCTGAGGTAAGATGATGGAAATAGAGAGAAAAAGCGCCAAAAAAAAAACCTAAAATGGCAACGAAAAGAGAAAAAACGACAGAATAGACCTACCATGTTTTCCCAAGCACTCTCTAAATCGGGTGAGCCAGCAGTTGCTCCAGCACTAACTCCAGCATCTGATAGAGAAATCTCATTTTGCTTCGCAGTTGCAAGAAGTTCCTCTGTCAATGCAATCACCTATATGGTGCAAAAACAAGTTTCAGAGAATTCAGGATTTTTAACAATTTCACACAATATATCGATAAAGATTTTCAGAAGTAGAACTTCAGGGATCGAACGCGAGAAATGAGGAGATAGAAGCAGGCTGGCCATCATGACACATATAAGCACACCTGCACAAATAACCAAGATAGAAATGATGAATTCCTTGCTAACTCTCCTACTTTCATGTATACTCCAACAACTGCTTTTGGCTGACCCAAACTCCACTGCCGGAGTTACATGGCACTCAAAAATATACTCACCTTTTAGACCCCAGAACTGAAAGAAAACTCCATTGTATCCGCTAGCTGTTAAATGATGTTGCTATTTCGAACAACATGCTGATTCCTTCAAAAGAGGGAGGGAATAGAAATATAAAGGGTACGGTATGCAAAACCTAGATGCTAAGTAACCTAATCTTGTTGGTATACTTATGCCGCAAAAGGCATAGATATCAATGATTTTCACTCAAACTAAGGGAGGCTAACAAAATGTCATCAACAAGAAAGATGAAAAGATATGATCACACAAAACCACGATGAAGTAATTAAAGTAGGGATTGATCACCTCTTTAAGCTCCTTTTCCATGTCTGCATATTCCAAGTTTCTAGGGTCCTCTGACAAAAGCTGCCTAACCTGAGACCAAAGAGTCAAATTCAATCAGAAAAACCAGAGGAGAAGCAATTGCATGATCACATTTTATCATTAATCATTCAATTTCACAAGCAATCTTCTCCAATCAGAATCCGAAATCAACAGGTACGAAAAACTCAAAACTTTGAAATAGAATTCGAAACCCCTAACATAGTGAATAATCCGTTACAATGAAACTTAACAATACTAGTCCAATCAAACGAAACCCTAAAAAAACATTCTTACGAACCCTAACTCAGGAACAATCAATCAATACAAAACCCTAATCTTGGCGCAAAATTCAGAATCCGATATTCAATTTCTCTTCACCAATCCTCAAGAATTCGAAATTCTAATTGCAATACACAATCCTGAAACGAACCTGTTCAAGCTGTTCTTTGTAGGTAGAGAGATTCGAAGCTAACACTTCGATGCTTAATTCTTCAACTCCTCCTTCCATCTTTTCTCCAAACTCAAAACTTCGATCTCAATTTCCTCTTTCAGATAAATTTCCCGATAGTTGTACACTGATCTTTCTCTTCTCCGATGGGTTCTTTGTCGCGAAGATATTTTAGGAGCAGTAACCAAAAAAAAAAAGAAGCTCTTAATTCTAAAGCAAAACTACACGCCGTTCTATGGATCTTTCATCTTTTTAGTACAAAAACGCGGAGCGTTTCCTTAATTTCAAAATTAGCCCAATACTTAGTAACTCTCATAGATTTATCCCAAATAAATTAATGATTCAATAATACCCCTCTTCCGATCAAATTTACTAGGCCTGGGATAATTACCCGAACCGAAAATTCCGACCCGACCGAACCGATAAAATTGAATTCGGTTCACAATCGGTTACTACACAAAAACCGATCGGAAGGATGTCAAATAATCTTCGGTTTTCTCGTCGGGTCGGTTCGGTTTTCCGATCGGTTAACCGAAATTTTTAACCTAACTATAAATATCTAATTCTAACCCTAAACGACACTCAGCCTCCAACCTCTCTCACCTTTGGTCGTTCTCATCTCTCAATTTTCTTTGTCGCAACCTAATCTCTCTGAGACATTGAAGCTCAATCATGTCTTCTTCCTTCAATTCTCAGCCTTTCTTATGTGTTCATCTTTCGTTCTAGCCTTCTAGGCAAAGGTTAGTTCGATTATTCCTTGTTCTCAGACTCTTGTCCGTGTTCATCCTTAGATCTCAGTTTGGGTAAGGATTTGAGATTCAAGATCTAGGATGTCAAACCGTCGTTCTTCTCCGCCGCTAGAACCGCAACTAGAGTCGCCGCTGCAACCGCTTCAAAGAAGGAGAAACCCTAATAAATTCGGTTATTTTCGGGTTTTATACACAAAACCGAAATAACCCGTTTCCGAACCGAACCGAAATCAGTTTCGGTTATCTTCGAATACATTTAAAAATTCAGAATTAACCCGAAACCCGAAAAAACCGACCCGACCCGACCCGTTTACCCGAACTCGCAGGCCTAAAATTTACAAGAAAAAATTAGGCATGTCCATTTCGCAATTCGGACTACTATATATAACTTTTTGAGAAAAAATCACATTTAAATCGCTAATTTTCAAATTTAGGTTATTTCGAACTTGGTAGTAGACTTATTTAATCATCAATTAACGTTGACTAAATATTTTTAACACAACTTTCGTTGACCAGACCAAACTGAATATCTCATTAACTCCTATAACAGAGTCACTAAACCGTTATCCGAAATACCAACTCTCTGTTATGATAATCATTTTGGGCTCTTTATTCGAAATATCAATCTGTAAATTAGTGAGAATTTGAGGAGTGTTAAAATCCTTTTCTAACATGTCTTATCATCCGAATTTTCTATCCCGTATTTTATAAACAAATAGTAGTGATAAAATATTTGAATGCTCGAACTATCCGATTTTCACTCGCTATTTCCCGTTCTGATACCCGAAATGAATATCCAATGAAGAAAAACGTCTAAATTAGGTCTAATTTAGGATTTTAAAGTTAATTATTGAGAGTTTCATGGTCTAACTCTAAAACCACGTATGAGAAACCCAAATTGAACGACCAAACGATTTCAGGCATTTTTGCTTCTTCTGGAAATAATATATCTAAGCATCAAACCTGAATTCAAAAAATGGCGATTTCTGCATTACTCTCAGTCTCTTCTTTCACTCTATCTTCTTCCTCATCAACAAAACCCCATCTCCTAACTTCAACACCCACTTCTAGGGTTTATTCATCTTCGACTTCCCCCAAATTGAAGCAAAATCGTTTCCTACAGAGCCAACAAAGTT